TAGTGTTTTTTGTTATAAAAAAAAATGATGATGACTAGGATTTTCTTAACTTCATTTGAAATTTTTTGTATATACTATTAGTGGGAAATATATGTGGATGGATTGTTGCTATAAGTGCTTAACTAAATTATATCTTTCTTTTCAATTGAACTAACTTTAACTTGGGATTGCTTAGTGATTTGTGAAATAAAAATCAAATGTATATGATTGAGCATTATTTAGATTTGAATCTCCAATTGAATTGTATAGTTGAGAAATTGTACGAAATTATCATGGAAATAGAACTGAGATCAAATGTATATACTTGATTGTTATATAAAATTGCAGGTGTATAAAGCGTAAAATGCGGGTATAAATGGGCTATTATTTTGACCTTTAAAACCGATTTTGCGATTAGAACCGGCATCAAATTATGACCTCTAAAATAGTGGTATCAACTCTTTATGACAGCATATTTGCAACAATTTCTTCTCTCAAATAGATAAATATGTTGATCATAATTTTTGCTGCATATTTATATGATTTAGTGCCTAAATATTTTTATTTGTGGCTTAGTGTCTAATATTTTATATCATTAGCAGTCAAATATTTATATAAAAAATATGCATAAAAATGGCTACTAGCTAAAAGTTTTTATGCATAATATTTTTTTATATAAATATGATTAAAAATATATCGCATTTCAAATAAATTTAATTCTAAGTTTCTGCATTTAATAAAATTTTGTCTTGTATTCGTTCACATATCACACTCTCACATGACTTTTTCAATCTATTAAATAATAATGATTTAGGTTAGAATATAAAGAAGAAGCAACCCTGATATTTGTACCAATTAGTTTAGTTTATGTGATATTGCGCCAATTTATAATGCGAGGTGAGGAGTTAATTACCTTATCTTAAATTATTTAAATAAGAGATATTTATATATATACAACTTTCAAAATTATAAGATTTACATATTTAACTCCTAATTATTAATATTTACATAATATGACATTAATTTTTTTTAATAGTCTTTAATAAAAATCTCAACCATGATGTGAAAATCACGATGAATTTATGATGGATGATAAAAAAAATAGGTAAGAAAGTTGTGATAGGATCTTGCAGAAAGGCTCCTGAAGGGATATTACTCTATGACCGAATTTTGTTAGAAAGGGTCATGACTGTATCTCTAGGAAAAGGGTTCGTTGGACCTAAGGCGAAGGGTGATGAGATCTCTCAAGTAAAGGGTTGTGATGAAATTGGTATATTGTGATAGTGATGAGTTTGATCACTGGAAAAGGAAAAAATTATTCCATCCGGTGAAAATACCGAGCAATATTGAGCATATCGAGCAATACCGAGCGGGCTATATCGAGCACGGTACCGAGCACTTTAGTGACGTGGCATTTTGGTATTGGTTTCCGGATGCATTCGGTAACCTGACGGAATAATCACTCCTGAAAAAGGGCAACGATATATCTTTGATGAGGGTGAAATTATTCTATGCGGATCTGAATGTCATCCGGAGGCAAATCAGAGCACACCATGTCACCCCTTTGATGTGTGCAACTGTGTACCTGTTGTATACCAGGTGACGTGACGCACTTTGATTCGCCTCCGAACGGTCCGATGTTCGCACAGAATAATTTCCCCGGATGAGGGGCGATGGATCGGCGACATGATTCAATGATAAAATTGTAAAACATAGGTATTTAAAAGTTGTGTTATTAATATAAATGATAGTTTTTAGAATAATTTTTATCGGTATATATTTTTTCTTTGAATAATATTGCTATAGATGCAGATCTCCTTTTTAAAAAACGTCAGATATTTATTGAGAAGGTATTTGCCGGTCCCACCATCTTCGTCAACGTGCATTATCTTATTTAAGAGTAAAGTTAAACTTCAAATAAATTTATATTGAGATTGAGTAATGCACACTCTCTCAAATAAAATTTACGTATTAATATTTTCATTTTGATTTTTTTAATGTAAATTTATTTGAGAATTGTGGCTGTATTCTTTAAACAAATTGGCTTGATAATGTTAAGTATTTGGAGTCTTATGATTAATATAATATAAACATCTTCAATGTCTAAGAAGATTGCAAAGCTTATTTTTATATATTTTAATTTTTGGAATGTTGAGCAGAAATGCAAAACAATATGGTTTTGAACTTGTGTCTGAATCCCCTAATCTGTTGGAAAAAAATTTGTGTTCGCATGAGAGGTTTTATTATTTTGTGCGGAGTCCGGAGCACCAATAAAAATATGTCACATCACCTTAAAATATACCGAGCTCGGTACCCATGCTCGTACCACTCGGTACCGAGCGCATAACCGGACGGGAGAACCGTCCGGTATCCGCACAGAATAATCTCTCTCATGAGAGAGAGAATGATGCCCTAAACCACTTGACTAATCAGGTGGCCATTTGAAGAGTTTATTCGGTTCAAATTGAGTTCACTTGCTAAGGAATTATTGGACTAGGGGCATATGTGTTGGGCAGAGTTCGCTAGAGAAATCATTGTGTGACTGGTTACATGTGTAGGATTGTTTGTTGGAGAAGGCATCTTTGGAGTGGCTCATAAAGGAGCTTTTATTCTGTAGGGATACCTGGTGGGAGAACTGTCCGGTTAAGCACTAGGTACCCGGCAGTACCTAGGGGTACCGAGTGTGAGTATCGAGTTGGGTATCCTGCAATGGGGTGATGTGACACATTTTATTTATTTGAACAAAAGTTGAGTATCGAGCAGAGTCTCCGAATGCCCTCCGAACTCCGCACAGAATAATAAATCCACATAAAGTGGGTTAGGGGAAAGCATCGCGGGACTGATAAATATTTATTTGAACAAAAGTTTGAATCAGATTTGGACAAATATTTTAATCTGAGCTAATTTTGCTCATAATATGTTTCAATTAGCAGTGAATGATTTCAATTGAACCAAACTTTCAAGCAGATTTCTCTAAAAAAATGAACAGCTGGCATGTTTTTTGAAAACTTATAAATACAAATATCTCATTAAGGTTTTGCAATATATTTAATATTTATAGATTACTTTTTATATGTATCTCATATACATAAATCTCAAGAAAATATTTAAATTGATAACTTAAAGAATTAAATTTATGAATATCCGAACTCTGATTTCAACAAATTTGTCATTGAGTTGAATGTATCGACGAGACGAACCCATCAACATTTCAAGTGATTTGATCTCAAATGAGCTAAAATCAAGCACTTGAAACAAACTTAAAAGCTTCAATATATTTATTGAAGGATCAAAATGGTTCTAAATCTTACATGCTTATAATCAATTTGATTATTAGACCCAAGATCAATTGATTTTAACATCACTAATGCACTCAAATATTGTATAAGCATTCTATGAGCGAGGGGATCAATTGACAAAGTGTTTTGTATTCTTACTAATTTAACAAAATGGCCTCTCGAAATGTTGTAAATAGAGTATCATTTCTACTTCAAGAGCTGAGAGAGCTAAAGAGCACTACTACTTCATTTTCGGCGATTACTATAGACAATTACCAACAAGAATCATTCTCAGCATTATTAGATTTTCGTCATCCAACTATTGTCCCCTTACTATTAACATCTAATCATGCTGTCCACGAATGGACACCTGATTTCTACAATCCCTACAACTGGAATTAAATAGCTATTCTTGATGCACATAACTCATCTACTACAATTATAAGGAAAGGAGGATTATTGTATATTTAATTATATAGTTGATTATTTATAACTATGTCAGACTTCATGATTTTTTTAAATTTTTAATTTTTCATGTAAAACTTTTTTATCAATAAACACAGCAATGACAAAACAAGCAAGAAAGTAAAAGCAACTGAAAAATAAATGACACCAAAATTTAACATGAAAAACCCCAAAATAAGGAAAAAATTATAGAGTCACACCACACCAAGAAATCCACTATAAAAATGAGAAGAAATAAGTACATATATCTCTTCTCTCTTACTCTCTCATTCTCTTCTCATATGCATCATTATCAATGTGTAATATAACAATAAATACAAGAGAAAGCCGGCTATAACTACTAAAGGGATATAACCCTTAAAAAAACAAGAAAGAAAATTGTCAAGTCTGCCTCGCAGGGTTGCGATGCTAGTTTGGAGCGTTGCTGTGCTTGAACCCCTGTCTTGATCCACTACATCATCGTATCTAGATCGCTACGATGCTCCGCTCTCTATTATTCAGTGTTGGAGCGCTCGAGAATACAGTGCCAGGGCTCTAGGGTACGCAGCGTCGAGGCGCTCTGGTACATAGCTCCGGGGCGCTGTACTAAAAAAAGCAGGGTAAACCCCCCACACCCCCAACGAGCACAAGAAACTTAAGGGCGGGACAACAGAACAACCCGATTGATCAACACAATCAAATTTCACACATAACGATATGCATGTTAGTTTTTGTACAAAATTAAGATATTAAACACATAATCAAGCATTGCAAGTTTTTTACACCTACAATTTTTTGAATGCTACGGGCTTTGACGTGAGCTGATAGGAGGAATTTCTTCGCGTCTACTAATGAGTTGCACGAACGAGCTCAATAGTTTTTATTTCAAACGAAAGAAAGATTTTTATACTCCACAATCAAATCATAATAAAAAAATATGACAATTTATTGGTTATTGTACAATAATTTTTTATATTTTTTCTCTCTTTTTGAATAGTAAAAATAATATATTCAAAATATCTCTTCAGATCTAATCAGGATTAATTTTAAATCATTAAATCTCCTTAAACATAAATATAATATAAATATTTTGCTAATCGCACATACATTACCATTATTTTAAAATAAATCCATTCATTTTAATAGGAAAAAACTCTACTATACTTTTTCCTTAAATAAATTTCACTTATTCCTCCACATCTCTTCAATCAAATCCACTTATTTTTTTATCAAAATCATCAAAAAAAAATTTTATTCATTAAGTTTAACACTTTCCATTCATTGATTGCATTTCCATTGACCACCACCACCATTCTCCATATATTCCAAAGCCTCTCCTCCTCCCAAGCTCCTCATCTCCTCCCCTACTCCTCCCGCACTCTCTCTCCCCTCCTCTCGCTGCTCTCCATCTCCATAGGCAATTCTCATAGCAACTGCAAATCCAGTCCTTCACTTAAACTGTGAGCATTCTTTCGATCTGCATGTCAGGTCAGATCTTATTTTCTTAATCTCCTATATCATTTCTTAATACATAGCTTTTTTCCCTTTTCTTCTTACAGCTTGTGGTTTTGAAGGCCTGGATCCCTTTTCTCCTACTCCTTAACAAAACCTCAAAAAAATATTTTCCAGCATGTAATTTCTCTCTTACCGCTTCCCAATCCACCCAAAAAAAAAGCAAAAAAAGAAAAAAAAAATCTTATTTATATAGTTCTTAATCTGGCTTTCATCTCTTCTCATAAAATTCCTTAGCCAAAAATTTATAAAAGCCTCTAAATCATGTAACTTTTTTGTCTATCATATCAGTTAATCCTTCAAAAAAGAAAAAAAAAAATCTCTTAAAGCTGCTTTAGAAAGTCCAGTCCTTTTGTTCTAAGAACTGGCAAAGCCCTTCCCTTTCTCATAACAAAACCTTTATAAAAATCATTAAATCATGTAATTTTCAACTTTACCTTTTACCGTCTACTTAAATACCCAAAAAAAAAAAACAAAAAAAGGTAGTTCTGTAAAAGTGAATTTTCAATGCCGACGGATACAGAGAGCCCGAATATGTCGGCGCCGGCGACGCCCGGCACTCCCGCGCCGCTCTTCCCTTCCCTCCGAGTGGATTCCCTATCGTACGATCGAAAGGCTGTCCAGAGCTGCGGCAAATGCCTGCCCGTTGATTCGTGGATGTCGCCGCACTCGTGCGTTACCGTCTTCCCAAAGCCTGACGTGTCCCTCACTCGCAAGGTATGTATTTCGCTTTCGTCCGACCGCCTTTCACCATTTTTAAGCATAATTTTTTTGTGAATGATTTGATATTATTGGGGTTTTTACCAAAGAGGGAGCAGATTAGTCCCGTAATCATTACTTAATAGAGATTAGGGAGTAGTTTAATATTTTAAGCTATGCTATTAATTAATTAATCTCTTTAGGAATCTGGATTTAGCTAATTAAGACAATGAAGCTTCGCATCGAATGCTTTGTAATTTTCTTCCACCGACCGACCGACGATTGGATTTGTCAGTGAACAGAAAAGCAGCTTCGGCGCCATTAAACGAGTGGTGAAAGGTCAATCGTCTTTTTAGTATGGAAATTGAAAGAAAATTTTAGGTGAGGGTCAGTTTTAAAATTATTTTCTCAAAAAAAAAAAAGTTTTTAAATTTTAAGATTTATTTTTACATAAATGTAATTATGATTAATGAACTATTTAATTATTTTTTATGACAGATTAATAAGTTTAAGATTTTCAAATTTATATTTACAATCCTGCCACTAATTTTTTCCCTGGAATTGAAGAACTTTTAAAAGCATTTAAGGCACATGAAAATAGAACCGTACATGCCTTAAGATTCGTGATGGGGGGTAGAATATTGATTGACCGATGATTTTTCTATTGGATTTGTGCACGAATCTCGAAACATATTGTAGGTTAGATGTTGACTTTTTTTGCTTTATAATTGATGCCTAATTTAAAAAAACATTTTTGGGCATTGAAAATGAATGATATTTTAAAAGAGTGATTTTTTTAATATATCTAAATAAATTTTAATAAGATGATTTTAATATTTTTAAATTATTTGGATCATTATAATTAATTTTAAAAAAAAATTCCTTTTCCATGACTTTTAAGCCTTATATGACTTATATGAATATCAGTACATCCACATTATTTTTTTCACGATAATTACCCAAAAAATAGAATTAATATATTTTTATTTATAATCCACCATACAAATCTTCCCATCCATTAAGATATTTGTTTGATACGCAAAAGCATCAGCTTAAAAAATTAAAATTTTTAAACTTTTAATAGAATTGGAACCAATCGAAATAACGCAAATTTTAAAAAGAAATAAAGAATAAGGGAAATTATTCGTAAAAGTAATCACAAATTATTATAAAAAAAAGTAAATTCTTTTAAAAAATTTTGCATTTATCGTAATTTTATTTAAAATTGGATATTATAATTTTTTGTGTAGCTATAAAACTCTAAAGGGATCAATAGCCTTAGGTTTATTTATACTAATTAGTAATATAATGTTATCTTCGGTGCACGTTTCTTCCTACCTTTCTAACTGCCACCATTTTTATATTGTATTGATCTCTGAACATTGAATGTTCACAGATTTTAATAGGAGAAATAAATGATGATTTTATTGGTCAATCAAATGTTACAATAATTGATTGAATATTTATATATTATAAAATATTAAAATAAATTTACTACCTTTGAAATCCATTATGGTAAATTTTATCTCAAAAAATTTTCGATTAGGTGCCCATAGAACCCATTCAAATGTCTAATTTTTTGAGAGGAACCAATCTAGACTAAATATTTTCTTCTTCTTTTCTTTTTTTTTTTTAACCACAAAGGGATATTTTATTACTAAAAGCAATTACAATTCTTAAAGAACAATCAGCCCTCTAAAAGAACAAAATATCAATAAAACATACAAGCCAATGTTCAACCTAATACAAGAAAGCAAAAAATAATAAGTCAACAAAATATTTGCTTCTTTACCTTATGCTATATGTTTTTAGGGCTTCTGGCTCATTTCCTTTATACAACACTATATTATTTATGTATTTTTTTTTATATTTAGAAAATATTATGCTATAACTTTATGACATATAATTTTTATTTATATTTTTATGTTAAGGGCCTATTTGGGGAGAAATTATTATGTGCGGACGTCTAACGCCGTCCAGAGACCAACCAGAATGCGCCATGTCATCCGCTCGACTCGGTGCTACTCGGTACCGTGGCTCGATATCGCTCGGTACCCTTGCTCGATATCGCCCGGTACCCGACTCAGTATTGCTGATGTGGAGCATTATGTTTGGTCTCCGAACGGTAAACTACGTCGGCGTCCACACAGAATAATTTCTCCCTTTTGGGAAACATTTTTGTCTCTTTTGTTTTCATACAACAACCACAGTTTCGTTTGGCTAATGCCTTCAGAAATTTCGATGGTGAAAAATTATTTTATGCAATCATAATAGCAAATTTGTTTTCTCCAAACAACTTTACAATCTACTTTTTTTTATAAAAATCTCTGATCGTCCCAAACAAACCCTAAGTTATTATTAGTTTTGATCAAACAATAAGTAGCTTTATGTTATATCTTGCAAGAAAAAACAAAAAACAAACATAAATATATTCATGATTATAGATCAAAATTCTTTTTTTTTTAATAGAAATCCAAATATTGTTTTGGAAGACCCCTCCTCTCATGAAATCCTCTTTTCATTAACATAGTTATTTAAATTTCTTCTTAAGGGATCTACACTGGAATTGCCTAAATAGTCCTAAAAAAGTTAGTTAGTACTAAATACAATAGTATAAAACTATTAATGAAAAAATTGGTATGTTAATGTGTCCTTTTACTAGTCACCTATGAAATTAATTCTATTATTTCAAAAAAAAAAAAAAATTGAGCTATGCTATCACAATAATTCACCTTAAACAACCCTATCTGTAAAATTTGTCTTATTAATTGTCTTAATCCTAAAAATGTATAGTAAGTTGACTGATTGCGCCGTCCAAAATTCAATAACATAGCAATAAGCCAATAATACAAATTAAGTGATAGATTAAAGAATTCCATGTGGCTAATTACTATTTTTTTATTACTCTAAATACAAAATTAAATTTTATTTAGTTCTCTATAATTAAATAATATAAGCTTTCAATATTTTCAATAATTAGTAAAACAAAAAATAATAATAAATTATTAATTTCATAGAAAGTGACACCACAATAAATAAACAAAAATATGCAATAAAATATGAATTAGATAAGATATGTTTATTTATTTTCTTGCAATATTCCAAAGCAATAATTCAGGCTTCAAGCCTTAAAAAATAAATTATTTGTAATATTCTTTGTCATTATAGAACAAATATTCCTTTAGAGGTTAGATGTTTAGGTAAAGGATTTTAAATTAAGTTTGCATTTCAATCTCGCTTTCATCATAAAAGTATTTTGTTTTATTTGTTTCAACAGAGAAAAAGTATTCAAACTAGTCGACCTCACCACATAGTGAGATAAATGTTTCGTTTCGAACATCTTTTTTACTGCTTTGTTGTACAAAAATATTTATTTCAAAATTTTTTCTTACTAAAAAACTGCTTTAAAAAAAAATTGTTCCAAACGATGCTATATTCTTGATTTTGTTATTATCATATGTTTGGAAATCTTCTTTGTTTAATTTAAATTTTTTTTTTCAAACGAATAAAAAAAGGAGTTTTTTAAATAATTATTTTGGTACGTTTAGTTAATTTTTATATTTAATTTCAATATAATTTTTAGAACAAAAGCATATTGATCTGTTGGTTGGAGTTTTGACTATCAATTAAGAGGGCTTGAGTTTGAAGTTTGTGTATGGGATTCTATTTTACTGTTTTATTGTGTCTGTATCTTTTTAATGGTGGTCTTTTCTTTCTCCAACTGTTGTATTTTCTTTTTATTAGTTTTTAATATAAGTTCCTTTTTGTTAAAAAAAAAAAAATGTATGTATGAATTTGACTTAATTGATCTAAATATCAAAAAAAAAAAAAAAATCCAAAGAGATGGGTTCATTAAATGAAAAATTTTTATTCAATCATTTTAGTAGGCATTAAGGTTATTTTTTTACTTTTTAAATTTTAGGATGGATGTACATACATTTGATTGAATTTTTTATATTTACATATCTAATACTTAAAATTTATATTTACTTTCATAATATTTTAATCTTTAAATCACTTTAAGTAAAATAATACTTAAAATGAAATGTATTTTTTGTGTATCTATTTTGATGAAATTTAATTACTATTTGGGACAGCTTTATAATTGCTTGATTTTTTAAATAACAATCATAATTTTTTTTACAATTGATTTTTTATGTTTTTTTGTAATATTGTGAAAAACTTTTATCATAAATCAACTTTATAAAACACTGTAATTATCTCAAACCAAAAAGATCCTTAGTTATTAGGATGTTATGTAAATAATTATAGAATTTCGTATTTAGATATGTAAATATTAAAAAAAAAAAAAGAAATATGAGCATAAATACGCCTATTTTTTAAAATATATTTTGTGTATGGACTTGCAATTAAATGAGGGAAAAGTTTTGTATCAAATACTTTTGATAAAAAATTAATCAAAATAAACTGCAAAACTATTAAATTTAGAGAGGATTTACATCAAAACCACAAAATTTTAAAATATTATTTATTTAATTTATATATTTTAATATTTATTTATATATATATTTTTTGGGTGAAATTTAATGTTTAAATTTTTTTGGAATAAATATAATATTTAATTAAGTAAAAACAATATTAACACAAATCTAATAAATTTTAAAATTTTGATCAGATATTATGGCCTAATTTATTCTGTCAAATAAGTCCCAAATTCAACGAAGAAAATCAGGCCTAACAAATTGTTCCATCCATTGCATCGCAGCTGGGAGCTGAATTTGTGGGCACATTCATCCTCATCTTCTTTGCCACCGCCGCTCCAATCGTGAACCAAAAGTACGACGGAGCAGAAACCCTAATCGGCAATGCGGGTTGCGCCGGCTTGGCCGTGATGATCGTAATCCTCTCGACCGGCCACATCTCCGGCGCTCACCTGAATCCTTCTCTCACCCTGGCCTTCGCCGTCCTCCGCCACTTCCCCTGGATTCAAGTTCCGGCTTACATCGCCGCGCAGGTCTCCGCCTCCATTTGCGCTTCGTTTGCTCTTAAAGGGCTCTTTCATCCTTACCTCTCCGGTGGGGTTACCGTGCCTTCTGTTACTGTGAGTACGGTTCAGGCGTTTTTTCTCGAGTTTGTTATCTCCTTCAATCTGCTCTTTGTGGTCACCGCTGTGGCTAAAGATACTCGCGCGGTCAGTTTTCGCTCTCTTCTCTCTTTTTTAATTATTTTTAGTTTAGCTTAATGACGTTTTTTAATTAATTAATTAGGTTGGAGAGCTTGCGGGGATAGCGGTGGGGGCTACTGTGATGCTTAACATACTCGTGGCTGGGTAAGTATTTCTTAATAATATCATTAGTCGTATTTAATCAGTTTTAATTTTGTTTTATGTTGTGCTTATGCATGAATTAATATTTTATTTATTTACATTTTGTTTCACGCCAGATGTTAAATTTATGATTCCATATTCTTTTTAGTAATTTTAACTCATATTATAGTCAAGGTGGAATTGTCTACCATCATTAAAAAAATCAAAACTTTTAGTATAGTAAGGGTTATTTCTAATCCGTAACCCCTAGCCGACCTTTTTTCATGCAATTTGTCCCTCCAAAAATCGGAAAGCCTCTTAGCCTCTCAATATTTTCATCCAATTATGTTGAACTTTTATAACACTAACAAATAAATCTGTGAAAAGTGATTATGTGCAAATTAAATTATTTTGCACCCTTAAGTGTATATATTTTTATTTTTTTATAAATTTATCTCTTATTCCGCCCTGAGTGCTAAGGCTGGTTCCGCCCCTGTGGTCAGCCTTTTTTTTCTTCTTAATTTCTTAACACTAATTAATGGGCAAATCATCAATGATATATATCAACAATTACAATAACAACATCAAACTTTTATCTCACTCATAGGGTCGGCTAAGTGAATCCTTTTTTTCTCCATTATCTCCTATTAAGAGTAATATTCTCATTTAAATCTAATAAAAAATGTCAGTTCTAATAATTTTTAGTTAAGTCATTTTCGATCTATTTTTATATTTCGTAACATAGGTCGGATCTAATACATCTACTCTCCTAACACTATAATCAGTAGATCTTAAGCCATAGATGAGAAAAATAGAAAGTTGCATTAGGTAGTCGATAGCCTGACAAAATTTGTTAAATAATCATTATATGAATCCTTTAATAAATACAATTATATATATATATATATATATATATATAAATATAATGATATTATGATGTTTTGATATAAATTTAATTAAATTTATTTTGATATTAATAATATTATATATAAATTTATAATGCACTAATTTCAAAACAAATACAATAATTTTTAAATTTATTTGTATTGCATAAACCTCAATGCTATATTGCACCATAAGAGTGTTATTTTTCCAAAAAAAAAAAAAAAAAAAAAAAAAAAAAAAAAAAAAACAAAACAAAATTAATGCTTTTGATGCTGATAAATTCAACATAATTTAACATATCATACGATTTCATAATATTTATTTTATAAACAATATTAAAAATATTTCAGTATAAATAAGTTCATCAAATGAACATTAATTCAATAAAAAAGAAGACAAAGACCAGTGTGAATATGGCGCGACAGAGTTGAATTTTGTATGATGGATTGGATTAATTATTAGATTAAATTCTTCGCATCAAAAGCAGGCCACCCACACCACAACTTGACATCACCTTGTCAATAATTGCAGACATGATGCATTGCATCAGTCGTAAGACAATTCACAAGAAAAAAGTTCTTTGGATTTTATAAATAATACGCTCTATGTCGTCGTCATCTCAACAAATTCCAAATGAATTTTTCTCCCCTCAACTTGTAATCAGAATTCCTCCCATAAAGTTTTATTGGTTTGTTGGTTGAAAGCTTTAGCTATCTATTAAGATTTTGTTTAGGATAACTTTCTTACGGCTTCTTAACGTAGCTTTTTAATACAAAAATTTAGTTCTTTGTACTAGAAAGCTGTTTTAACGAGCAGTAAGAAAGTCATCCCAAACGAAGCTTAAGAGATCTTAGATTCGAGTCAGGTGTATATGAGTTTGTCTTAATTGACCTAAATGTCTCAAAAACAAATCCCCCAATTCTTAATTAGCAAAAAAGAATTTGAACTTCCTAATCATTACTTTGTTAAACTTAATTATCATTAGTGTTTAATTAAGTTTTTGTTTCGGATGAAGCTCATGTTGGTCTATTAGTTGAGAGATTTGATTACCAACCAGGAGGTCATTAGTTTGAGTCTTGAGTATGTTATGTTTGTGTGAGTTTACCTTCATTAATTTAAAGGTATCCAAAAAAATGTTTTGTTTGGGATGGATTTTTAATTGTTTTTTAAAGCAAAAATTTCTAGTTTAAAATTTTTTGTTGAAAATTTTATTTTAAAAAATAATAAGAAAATTGTTCCAAATGAAACCTAAGTACATAACATTATTACTCAAGAAAAAAAAAATATGATAATGATATATAATTTTTTGGCGGGGTGGGCTTTCAAAAAATTTCAATAATCTATTTTGGGATGAATAATTATTTATGTATTATAATCATTTCAAATTACTAGGTGCAAGCCCATGCACGTTAGTTTATCTCACTAGTCTTTTTTTTATTATTATTATTCTTTAGTTTAAGATCCTTGTTATAATGGAGTGGCATGATCATAATTTTGATAATCATCGTAATAAAAAAATGGATTCATAATATTTTGATTTATTATTTTTTTGTTCATATAAGTATCAAAATAATTGAATTTATTATGAGATTAATACGTTATAAGTTTTAATTAAGTCTTTATGTATTACATTCTTCTCAAAATAAAATTTATGATTGTAATAATTAAAATTTGATCATAATGTTGGAACTCAACTTTTTTCATAAAAATATTTTTGCATATAAGAAAGCCGGATTGAATTCCGTATGAGAACATTGGATATCATGTAACATTACTATTTAGTTTAAGAAACTTGACATCATGGTAGGTTTATAACAATCCTTGTCTTTATATCAATAACTTAAATGCAGAGTCAATGTCCACATTAGTAGAAATTAATATGTGCGGTCATCAGAGAGTTCGGAGGCCAATCATAATGTGTTACGTCACCCGATACACAATGGTATAACACAGCAAATTGGTGGCATGGCGCATTCTGATTGTTTTTTGAACGGTGTCCGGTGACCGCACACAATAATTTCAACAACATTAGAGGAAAAAAAATCATTCTTAATTATGTGATTGATTCATTCCATTAGCACAGCTATATCACTCTCAAGTTATAAAGTATTCTCTTAGGATTTTGTTCGGAATAGTTTTTTAATGTTTTTTTAAAGCTGTTTTTTTGCACAAATGTTTTTTAAACTAGAAATTTTTTATTAGAAAACTATTTTATAAAATAATAATAAAGTTATCCCAAACAAAATCTTAATCTGACCGTATATTAGGCTTTGAGTGTCATCAATATATTTATTTATTTATTTTTAATGTATATGTTTATGTGGCATGTTATATATAAGAAGTACTTGATATATAAAGAGATAATGGATTATAATCAACTTAAGAAATTAGGTTAATAATATGTTAACATCAATAATATAAAATGATAACTTCCTCAATAAAATTGATTTCGATAGGATAATATATTAACATATTCATTATCATTGCAATTTTATATTGAAGCATATGAATTGAGTATATTCTCTAGGTTTAGGAGATCTATACATTATTTTTTTACATAATTATTCACGTTTGATTGAATGTTTATAGTTCAATTAGAGATTAGGTTGCATAAAAACATAGAAAACTCTTTCACCTCTTTTAGGAACATTATATTTAGGAACATTTAAAATACTTTTCATGAAGAAAAGTATTTTAAATTACATCGAAAATCTTTCCACAATAAATGAATTACTACTTTAGTACTTTTTTTTTTATATTATAGGAACATTAACTCTCGTATTAAATATAGTTTATAGTAATATATATATAATATTTTATGTAAGTCCCCTTATTTTCCACCTTCTCCATCTCTTATTTTCCATTTTTTCCATCCCCAAGAAAGTAATCTGTAATGATTCAAATTCTTCTACAAAGGCACTCAAACTTTGAATGTGTGATAAAATGAAACACAGAATATTTATTCTACATGAGAGAATTCCTGCATTTTTAGAATCACTTTTTTCAGTCCTAAAAGCGTTACTGCTTTTCATGCTTAGTCTTTTCTGCAAGAAAAAAAATCAAATAAAATAAATCAGCACTAATATGTTAATCTTATGTAAAAACAATATATTTCTCTAATAATATATTTATTTGTCCCTTATTTTAATCAATTCATGCAGGCCAGCGACCGGCGCATCGATGAACCCGGTTCGCACTCTTGGCCCGGCTGTGGCTGCCGGCAACTACAAGCAAATATGGATCTATTTGGTGGCGCCGACCGCCGGCGCCATCTCCGGCGCCGCCGTGTACACCTCCGTGAAACTCAGCGATGACGTCGACCCCACTACTCCCCGACCCGCCCGAAGCTTCCGCCGTGGCTGATATAGTTTCTGACGCTGTACTCGTTTCCTGCATCCCTCGCATGTCTCTGTTATATAAGAATAATAGTAATAATAACGTTTGAAAAGTAATAATATTGTAATAATTACAACTTCCTCGTGATACTTCGGAAGTGACGTTAAGTCCACGGGCCGGGCTTCGTCGGGCCCGCTGCGCACTGTGATATATTTGGCGTGTTGCTGTTTGATAGTGAGAGAGATATCTCTGCTTGTGTGTGTGTGACTGTCTCTGTTGTTGTGAATTGTGGAAGAATAAAGCGGGGGAAATATATATATATATAGAAAAATAAAGAACGATGTGAGTCTTCTCAAGCACTTCTGCAAAATTATTGCCATGTTGGCTGTGCTACATTGCACACTATGGTATTATTTGGATGGCTTTCTTACTGTTTTTTATAGCAGTATAAAATTTTTATAGAAAGCTGCTATAAAAAAGCTGTCTCAAATGAAGCCTATGTTGAAAAGTTTATATTAACATCGGAGTTTGGTAGTTAAAGAGATTATGTTTGATCTTTGTGAAAGGTTTTGCTCCCTCTATTCATCGTAGATAAGTTTGATCCTGCTGAGGTCAATGATCTCATGTCTTACCAGCTCCATCATCTTCTCATCCTTCGCTGTTCCACTTCCCCAACATTTCTAAATCCTTTGTTTGCTCCTCCTCCTTTCATCTGATAGTATCTTTTTTATTCATGGGGTCAAACCTCTCTTCCTGCCTAGCTAATGTATTTTCTTTCCTCGTAATATGTCAAATTCTATGCATTTGAACTTTCTTTTGTGGAAGGTCAAGATGATGAGATCTTCCTGGTGCTTTAAGTGCATATTGTGCTCGATCGCAATTGGGAAACACTCCCTTGTTGAGTCTGCTCTTGGAAAAAAAGGTGTTTCTTATGGATGTCTTCTTGCTATTGCTAAAAGATTATGGAATCATAGTGGCATTTTAGAGTTTAGGGTTTACTTTATGGATTATTCTTATTTTATTTTCATGATAGGAGGATCATGACTATTTGGTTTGGGGTTTTTTAATTCATTAATGATAAGTATTTTGTGTTGAAAAAATAAATTACATGGGACTTCAAATAAATTAGAATTGTTGTTGGAGAATTTTTTACTTGGGAAAATTTTTTAAGCTTTTCTCAATGTTGTTGGAGCTCTGAGAGAATTTTTGAATTAACTATTATGTGGATAAACCCATCTGAGGATTAATAATCTCACTATTTGGTTTGGTTCTAAAGAAAGATTGAATTTTGCTAGGGTTTATGTACTTGTTAAGCCATCTATTATGCACCTATAAATTTCGTTAAACTTTAACAAATCTAAGGCTATAGAAAATGTTGTTTGTTATTAGCTGTCGTCGGGCTATAGTTTGTTTGATACTTTTTCATATGATATTTTTGCATTGTTCAAGGTAAATCTAATTTTATAAGTATAAAAAGCCTGTACAGATTGTTGGATATTAGTTCAGATTTTAGGTTGTTTCTCTTTAATTTGTACTTTCTTTTAGGTTTCTTTAGCTTGTATTGTCATTGGTATATCCTATATTGTCTATAAATAAATGTAATATTGTTTGATAGAGGCAAGCCAAATAATAAGATTTCCGTTCACCTTTCTTCCCTACATATTTCCCTCTCATTCAAGAATATCTTCATCTTCCTCCAAGATCCTACACATGTGCATTTGATCTTGATTTTCTCTTGGAGACCAAATTTTCTCATGAGTTTCCTTCAGATTCCATTTCAAACAAAAGTTTTTGTTTGTTTCATTGAAAGGAATTTTTCACCACTTTTTATGTGCCCTGAAGGAGGATTTGGCTTAAATTAAATTCCAACAAACTTCGTTTTTATCTTAACATTGATTCATCAATAATTCATACATGGTTAAATCAAAATGAATAATAATGTGAAATTTTATTTTATTATGGTAAATGTGACTAGTGTTGCTTCTAATTAAAAGCTTCTTCACAAAATTTTAGTTATGTTGAATTTTTTTCTCTTTCGTTAATTTGTCTTAGACTTATTAGGAGACTTTAATGGTAACTAGAGATTGAAGAGAAGGTGGGAAACACTCATTTTATTAATTGGTTGAAACTTTCACTTTGATATATTTCAAAATAATATGTTTGGGATTGAGAAGAATTGCCCATATATATCAAATAAGATGCATGCATGTTCTAAAAATCATTTATGATGGATTGTAGTATTGGATGCATAGCAAAGAACTTTCCAACTAGTGCACGCATATTGAACAAGAACATCACCAAAGTTAGTTCAAGTTGTGCATCATCTAACTTTATAGCGTAATGTTTTTTCGTGCGCCTTTTTCCTCTGCTAGGGTTTCCCCCCGTTTGAAGCCCTAGCCGCCACCGCTCGCCATCTTCTCCGACGCGTCTCCGGCGTGTTTTGCATGGCTTTTAAACGTTTAGACCCTGGTTTTTTGGAGGTTAAGCATTCGAAATCTTTCAAAGATGTTTTATCTGGTGTCGCTGATTCGAATGGTTTCCCTGATTTTCGGGTTTCGACGATTCGTGGGATGCCGGCTTTGTGGTTTTCGGAAGAAGAGTTTTTGCATCTTGCTAAACCATTTGAATTTGCTTTAGTTGGGAAGTTTCCCCTTAAGAGGCCTGATTTAGACTCAATCCGCAAATTTTTTTTCAATTTTAAACTTTCTGGGGAGTTTTCTGTTACTGTGTTGGATCCAGCCAATGTTTTGATTAAACTCTCGAATGATCTTGACTATGGGAGGATTTTTGCTCATCGTTCTTATTTTGTTTTTGGGTGCTTCATGAAAATCATTAAATGGTCACCACATCTTGATCTTTCGGAGGAATCGTCGGTCGTCCCTGTGTGGGTTTCGTTTCCCGGTTTGCGTCCGCATCTCTTCTCCCCGTATTCTTTTGGGTTTGGGTTCGATCTTTGGTCGCCCTATTCAGACGGACAATGCTACGGCGGTCGGCTCTCGTCCTTCTATCGCACGCATTCTTGTTGAGCTCGACATCTCGAAATCGTATCCTGATTCCGTTTGGCTTGGCCCAGAGAGATTTAGTTATGTTCAAAAAGTGTTGTTGGAAGGTATGCCAAATTTTTGTATGCACTGTAAGTCGGTGGGGCATAAAAAATCGGAATGTAGTAAGCTTTTCCCTCAGTCGCGTCTTACTGTCAATTTGTCTCCCTCGCTAGTTGACCCTGTTCCTAATCCTCCTGTGTCTGCTGTAAACCCTATTTCTTCCGATTCCACCCCTCTCTGTGAATTGGATTTGGCAATTAAAGATGCCCCTTTGGTTCTGGAGGGTCTGGATGGAGTTATTGTTGCTAATAATGTAGATGATGATACTATTGTTGTTTTTGGGTGTGCCACCCTCTTTTATTTCTGAAGTTGATGTTATTCCTAAGGGGGTTACTGAGACTGGGGTTGTTAATGCGAATGGGGCTTCTCCAGTTTCATTAACTAATCCTACTGAGAATAATGTGATGAAGGAATGGCCTAATGTTATATCTGGTCTTGAGCAAGTGAGTGGTCCGTCCACTATTTTGGGTGAGGCGGATTTGGCTGATGTGGGTTTGCCGGCTAGAACCTTTGAATGGGCTTTCGGTTGGTTCTGATAATTTCATTAATGTTCCTGTTAACGTGATCGATACGATTAATTTGGTTAATCAGCTGGGTGCTAAGTCTGGTTTTGATGTTAGAAATCATTTGGATTGGCTCAATGTTTCGTCTGAGTCTGAATTTTCGGATTGTGGTACTTCTCCTGATTTTTTTGGGGGATCTAATCCTAGTAATGAATTTAAGATGGTGCGCGATAGACCTGTTTTCTCTGTTGCTACTCGTGGACGCTTACGTGGGAGGGGTCGGAGAAGAAGATGATCTGTTTTCCTTTGATTGATATCTTTTTCCCTATTGTTTTTCTATGATTTCTTTCGGTTTAGCATCGCGATGGAATGGGACTATGATGTGGCTGAGGCTCGTATTCTCGTCACCTTGTAGTGGCAACCTTTGGTGAATCTCCTCGAGTTGATGGGCGGGTCGCTTTCTCACCTTACTGCACGGTCCGTTCGAGGTTTCGGGGTACTGGAGCCTCGGCTGTTTACTGAGTCCTCTATTTATTGTATTTCTCATTTTCTTTGTTCTCCATTGACTGTGTAACCTTCTTCTTATTTATTCAATATATTATCTTTTTGGAAAAAAAAATATTGAACAAGAACAATAAAAATTTTCATAATATTTTTAGAGGTAATTAGGATTGATTACCTTGAACTAAATACCATAACAGAGGTTAAACTTTGTAATAGACTAACTAGCTGGTTTAGGAAACTATGAATGGAGATGTAGAAGAGATGTTGCATCTGCCCAGAGCAACATCAATAAAAGAATGATGATCATAAATATCATCCACATATAGAGAATAAATGGCAATTCATTAACAAAATCTAGATAATTGAGAAGCCTTAGAAGGTGGTGGCCAAATCATGAGAAACTTCCATCATGATAGAAGGAGGGCTCAAGCGAAACTAGGGTCATCTATGTGAAGAGGTGTCATCATCATGAGAGGAACATCAAAGAAGGAAGCCATAATGAAGGCCTGAGATAATGATCAACATAGAGCTCTAGGTCGATGATGGTGTGAGAGGTAGCTAGAGAACACTTTTGAGGAGAGAGTGCGGGTAAGTTTGTTAGCGTTGATGAAGCTTAATATATCTTATCAAATCTTACCATATAAGTTAATAGGTATTATTAGGGTTGTCAATTTCGGGTCACGGGTCGGGTTCGGGTTGAACCCGGAATTTACCCGGCACTATGTGGGTAAACCTGAACCCGACCCATTTTTGGAAATGGATAAATTTTTCGGACCCGAACCTGATTCGCGGGCATGACAACGCGGACAACGGTGGGTCGGCAGTAGTGGTGGGCTGGCAGTCGGCAGCAGCGGAAGTCGACCGAAGCGGTCTGACGACCGATGACAGGAAGCAGGGACAACGGGTAGATGGGTCCACGGCCTACGCGACTGGCAAGTCCGGGATGCGAGCTGGCCTCGAGACGCCACGCGAGTCTTCGGGACTCTAGCGGGCAGCTGGCTGAGCAGCTCGATCTAGTCAGGTGCAGTTAGCGCTAGCAGATCCTGTCAGTGTGGGTCATTCCGGCCAGGTCAATCTTGGGTTTCCGGGACAATCCAAATTCAAAACTGACCCGATTTTTAAAACGGGTTGAAAATCTTAACCCGAATCCAACCCTATTCGAGTTTGGATTAACACGAACACAAAATTTTCGGGTCGTGTCAAATATTGACACCCATAAGTATTATTATTTATATATCATATTAGGATTATGACAATACACGTCACAAGAAAACTCTATCATGAAAGCTATGGCCTTTGAAAATAAAACCCACTTGTTAATAATCAACAAAATAGAGACGCAAAAATTTTATTAAAAAATTTATGCAATTTAAAAATTTGTTGCAATTCTACCAATTTAATTATGATATAATCCTTCAATTCTAAAAAATAATCTCAAATATTCTTACACGTAAGCATAAATGATTTTTAAGGGTTGTATAGAATTGTAAGAGTTAGAATTCAAAGTATAAAAATTATCTTAAGAAATATTTTACAAATTGATTATTTATGTATGAAATATGCATAAATGCTCTCTCTCTCTCTCTCAGAAAAATACTGAAAAAAATCTTCTACAGTTCTTAGAGATTGCCCAATATCCATTTTACAAACTTTACAGCCATAATATATGAAAAATCGTTTTTTTTTTTCGATTATAAATGCGACAATATTAATCGCAAAAACTAAAATTTGTTAACAGAAATCTTTTGAAGTTTTGGCGTTAAAATTCCATCACATCTAATGAGGGTCATAGGAGTATGTTAGTTCCAACTCCTAAGGGAATAAGGCAGCTAAATTATTCAAAAAAAATAAGAAATTAAGAAAAACCAAATTGAAGTAGAACTAGAATTCTTCACCAGGTTAGCCATCACATTCACATTCATCATCGTCATCATCGTCATCATCGTCATCCTCCTCTTCACAATCATCATCATCATCATCATCCTCTTCTTCACAATCATCATCATCGTCGTCATCATCATCTTCTTCACAATCATCATCATCATCATCATCTTCTTCACATTCACATTCATCATCATCGTCATCATCATCTTCACAATCATCATCGTCATCGTCATCATCTTCTTCTTCACAGTCATCATCCTCGAGAACATATGGACACCCATAAGTCTTACTGAAACCAAGAATGTTGCAACAGTTAATCTGCAGAAAGTATGTAGTGTATAATCAGGAAAAAATGACTATATTTAAAGAACACATATGCATACTATATATATTTCCTAAAATATTCATGCTTCTCTCTCTCTCTCTCTCTCTCTCTCTCTCTCTCTCTCTAATCACTATAGCTGCACTCCCAAATAAATCTAAGAAAATCCTTTGGGTCCACAAAATCCTTTCAGATTTGATGTCAGAATATACTAAATGAATTGATGAGTCAGTTTGGGAACTCGATCAGACAATTCATACAAAAGAAAACGATGAAGAAAAAGAAGAACAGCTTACATCTCCTTTGGCTAAGAATGGAAGAGAACTAAAAAACTTGCAAAAAATCTTTGTTGCTTCCTGCAACCTATTTTTCTGCGTTGGAAAATGTACTGTAAAACATGGCGGCTTCATTCTTCTTGTTTCCATCCTTCTTGAACTGAATGTAGGAAAGAAGCTTCCATTAAAGGAGGCTTTAGTCTGTGAAACCACCATGACGTCCGGCCACCTTTAAGAACTTTGAAATCTCTACTTGCTAATTCTCAAAGAAAAGATATACGGAGAAAAAGTAAAGATAATCCAATGCTTATCAATTCTACAATAATCAAGCATGGGGAGATATTATTTTGGATGAATTGCTATATCAGAGTCTTGATGAACAATAATAGCCGTTGGATGGGGGTATGATGACTGAGAAGATGGCTATTATTAATTATAAATATGCAGAATGGCATCTCCTGCCATGATTGAAGGAATTGGTATTCAGTATTCTAATACATAATTCGAGAAGAGGGAGAAAGAGAGTGAGAGAATGCGAAGAGAGAGCTTTCCGTTCGCCAACACGATAAAAATGTGTGGGCAGGCAGCATAAGAACTGCTTAATTTTTTTTCATTTGAATCAAATGAGAACTGAGATACATGAAATCAATATATTTATAAAATAAAAGAAATACATACAAATAATCGATTATAATTATATTATTATTTAAATAAAAAAAAATTTGATGTGAAGGATGAAATAGTTAAATACTAACAAAATTTTTTTTTTAGAAAAACAAATTAAATCATGTTGTATTAAAATACAAATTTAAAATTAGCAATCTCATGATATTTGGATTAATTTGAAATAAATTTTAATGTGCAACTCATCTTGATCCGTCAAGAGATCTTGAGTTCGAAGTTTATGTATTTGATTTGTGAGTGAGTTTATCTTTAATTAACTCAAAAATCTAAAAAAAATTAATAAATTTTAACTTAATTTTGGATTTTTAAAAAAAACAACTTTGTCATGTATTACATTCAAATGAATTTTTTTTTTTAATATCATACAATTTGTCGGTTTGAGCTTGAATAAATTTTAATGAACCAAAGGTTAGGTTGGCTCAAATAGAGATATAACCAAATTAACAGACTATTTGTTTATTCCCTTTGGTGAATCAATCAGACGTTATCGGATGCTTAAATGCAATAATAATGCATAATTGTTAAGATAATTACGTTAATTATAGACTGCTGTGATTCTCCCACTTGAGAACAACTGAAGCAGAATCATGCATGCATTATATATAATTCTCTTCCTGGTCGCCAAAAATAATGAATTATTTTGCAGCAATGCGTGCATAGAATGGAATAAATTCTGAGGTACTGAAAATACCTTCAACTTGAACCATGCGGCAAAATTTTGTTCTGAATTCAAAATTTTTCTTTCTCAGTATTTTTTTTCTAAAAAAAAATATTTAAAAAAAAAATTTGGCTCAAACAAAACCATAAATACTTAAGATTTACTTAAGCTTCATTTGGAACAGCTTTCTTATTGATTTCTAAAGCAATTTTTTAGTACAAAATTTTTTATACTAAAAAGTTGTTTTATAAAACATAAAGGCTTCATTTGTTTTTTTAGTGCTTTTTTTAAAAAACATTAAGTTTTCTAAACTAATAAAAAGCTTTCTCAAAACTACAGAAAAATGAAAAAAAAGGAGTTATTGGGAACGTGATTTGACGAACCAAACAAAAAAAAAAAAAAAATTCCTCCATTTTTGAAAACGAAAAAGGCATAAAAACGCTCAAACAAACAAAGCCTAAGAAAACTATCCCAAAATAAAACCTTAGAATGATTATAATCTTTTATAAAAGTGATTGTGAAATTATTCTGAAAGATAACTTTTATGAAATTTACAATGAATATTCTATATATTATCAGATATTATTTCTTGCAATTATAACAAATAAACAAACCTAAGTGTAAGAAATAACTTTTCACCACTAAATTATAGAAAAACAATAAAAAATAAGCTAAATAAAAATATGAGATCAATTTAAAAAAATAAAATAAACAATAAAAAAGCTACCCAAAATAGACCCTTAGGATCCATTTGGTTCAACTATTAAGTTTTTGAGGAAAAAAGTTTTTTTTTTTTTAACTGTTAATCTATTGTAGGAATTATAAATAATTTCTTTTTGAAAAAATTCTGTAATTCTTTAAAATTTATCATTCACTAGCAAATCTAATTCCAATCATAAAAATTTCTCGATAACAGTAGCCATATGAAAATATAATAATAAGTAAAAAGAAATTATGTGAAAGCTTGCCCAAACATACCCCTAATATTACTTTGATTATGAAGCGAATTAGGGAGAAGCTTAATGGAAGAGAAGGTTGTAGAATTGTATCTACTATCTAGTGATATTATGACCTCAAGGAATTGCTGAAAACAAGAAAGTGCATCGATCCAATGCATATGGTTTTCTATAAATGTGGAGCATGAAAATGTCCATAAATGAGATCTCACCCAGCATTGCAAAGAGAAAGAGATTGGAGTAGAAAAATCAGACCTGACCAAATTGTTTCCAGTCTTTGTTCAGTGTTTGCAATGAAACAAAATATTTCAAATGTGACACTAATTAAGACTTCATTTGGGACGATTTTCTTGCTACTTCTTAAAAAAACTTTCTAGTAAAAAAAATTTAAAATTTTTACTAAAAAACGACTTTAAGAAGCAGTGAGAAATCCATCCCAAACGAAGCCTAAGACTTTGTTTGAGATAACTTTATTATTACTTTCTAAAGCAACTTTTTAACTCAAATTTTTTTGAGTTAAAAATTTGTATTAGAAAGCTACTTTAGTAACCAATAAAAAAGTATCCTAAATGAAGCCAAAAAATTTCTAATCATTGATTTGAGCTTTACATTGCAACTTTAGGTGAATTCTCAGCATCCCAAAACACCCTAAATCACATATATTGACCATGATATTAAGTTTTCTCAACAACCAGCTTCAGAGCAAAAAATTTCGCTACAATATTTCATCATCAACTTATACAATGGAGAGTATAATGCTCTAAATAGTTCAATTGAGAGGTAAGTCGAAATATAAGTATTCAATATCAATATTCACTCAAATAACAAATAACACTAAGAAAGCTTTGGCAAATCTAGTCCTACCCTTGCATTACAGAGAAATTACTTTCGTAACTCAGACTTCTAGATTATAATAAAAGCAACTTACTCACTGGTCCACCTCTGATTATCATGAAAATGACTTCAGTCGACATAAAAAACCAGCTTTACCACAAAATCAATCAATGTGCAGAGGAAAAAAAAGTTAATATATCATTCCTAGGAACAAAAGTTTAGCTTGCCAAATGCAAATCAAGTGAATCCCTAGTCTATTGAAAGTCGAACAGGATTACAATATGCAGTATTGACCAAATTGGAAGAGCAAATTGGTACATACAAGCACTGAAGTCTCTTCAAGATTTTATTGACCAAATTGGAAGACGAGTGAAGCGAATTACCAGCATAATTAAGTTTTTTTTTTTCACACAGCTTCTGAAAGTCTAGTACGAACAGAATCTGGATCAGGCAAACGTTTGATACTGCAAATAACAAAGAAAATCCAGAGTAAATTTAACAGGACAACTTCACATTGGTCTTTTGGTTGAGAGTTTAGGTTACCAACTATGAGGTTTTGAATTTGAGTTTTGTGTATGCGATGTGTGTATGAATCTGTCTTAATTGGCCTAAATGTCCCCAAAAGAAAAAATCACGAAGAGCACAATAAAAACTCTATCTATACTTCACTCTCACCAAATTCTCAAAGCAATTATATTTGATAGTATATGATTTTTTTTTTCTTTTTTTTCGTTGGAAGTTAGATATGTAAATAATGAAGATTTGAGATACGGCTCCTATGTACCCTAAATTATAACAAACAGGCCATCTAAATGGGAAAAAAAATGGGGAATGAGCGAAGGCTTTTATAAGGGAAGCATCAAACGATATTTTCCCCCAATTACTATGAAAAGTAAAAAATTGTAAAATGTGTATTATACAGATTACTTCAAATCCCCCTTCAATAATTCAATTCCCACAGGTGTGCAGCACTTCCAGACACAATTTGAATAGAAAATAAGCGCAAACATATAATCCAAGGTTAAGCATTCAGTTGCTCCAAGCGGAGTATAAGATAATATTAAAGGCTTCCAAAAAAAAAAAAAAATCTGTTAATACTTGGGAAGTAATAGGCAAAAAATCATCTGGGTGGGTACAGGAAAGTGGGTAGGTGGCTAATATTATTAGTATATTGTGTTTCAAAGACCCTTATTTGTATTAAAATACTAAAATAATCTCAACTAGAGAGATTAATAGGTACTTACCTGTAAAGGAACTCTCCATTACATGTGCTCTTCTTACACATCCAATCTGGAACCAACTCTTCCAACAGGCCCAATTGCTCTTCCACTTCACCTGCCATCCAAATGATGAATTAAAAAAAAAACACATCTTTAAAGAGAAATCATACAACTAACAAAGAATTGGATTAAGGCTGCATTTGGGACGGCTTTCTTCCTGTTTCTCAAAGCTGATTTTTAGTACAAAAATTAAAATTTTTATACTAAAAAGCCGCTTTAAGAAGCAGCAAGAAAACAGTCCTAAACAAAGCCTTCATGGGGTCGTTGGCAATAGGTATTACTCGTCTCTTCAATATCCAAATTATTTGAAATTATTTTGTGCACAAGCTCCCGCTTTGTAATCAAAGAACAGTCAGCAGATAGACAAATATGGTGGATTGTGTCAAACATGGCTGGCAAGCAATCAAGTATAGCTTTACGCTTCTCAGAGTTTGGTTGGATCAGCTTTTGAGCCTCATTTATTCTAGCAGTTGCATCACAAGTCTGTACATGAAACGAAAATTAGTGCATACAAGACAACAATTAAACAAATGGGGCAGAATTTATTGTGTAGTATTTCAAGCAATAAAAGCTTACAAAAGCCCACAGTCAAGGATTGCTTCCCAGACACCGAATCACACAAAGTTGTAATGCTCGTCCAAAAATATATTAATGAGGTACCCAATTGCATATTCTTTGAATGCATGAAAATTGAAACATGTTTCAATATACAATACTAGTTCTCCCAAAATAATAAACCCCTAATTTTGTATAACATGTTAAATAAGATAGCCGTGTCAAAATAGTTTGGATAAGGCAAAAGATGATGATAACAACTAGGATTTAGGATCAACTTGAATTTCAATAAATATGTGACAGTAGGACAAAAAAATGATCGAGAAGTTATTCAATGCATTTTCATAGAAAGGTTTAAAGATAGAAGAATTGAATGACTTTTCTAAATGCTCAAACAACATAGCTTTGGTTTCAAAACATTCATTTTAAGGACAACACATTGGATCAGGAGACGTACCAGTTTTGTTTCTTGTTCACTTATGATTGTTTTAATGGACAGGGATTCATTGGAATAATGTTCATGAATTTGAGGTAGTTCTGCAGTGTCAAAGTCAAGCTTTGATTTGCTCAAGTCCATCTTCTGCGGAGAGTACATTAAAGTACGACGTACTGAAGGTGTTGACTTGGGTTTGTTAACTGACTTTTCATTTGTACTGACCAAGATTTCAATGGGTGTCGGCATGGGTCTTTTGGGAGTTTGCAAAGCAGGTGTTTCTGAAATTGCATCACTTGCGATCTTACTAACATTTGCTGGAGTATTCTGACTTGACTGGGGTACAATACAAGTACTTTCAGTATCAATAAGTTCAGATACTATGTTATATGCAGTCGAAGAACCTTTTTCAGGTGTCCTCTCCACTAAATTATCAGGACTTGGAATGTAAATGGCTTCAGACGGAGATATAATGGCAGAAAGTAAAGTTATACTATCTTTACGAGAGGTTATATAAACGTTCTCGCTAGACTTGCATGCATCATCATCAGCAATTGCAGACAGTGAGGCAGAGGCAAGAACTTTAGTTCTTTCAGCTTCTGGGACAGTTTCCTTCTGACAAAAATGCTTACGAAATGATGAAGAAAAATGAGAGGCAACTGAAAAGGAATCAAGTTCCACTGATGCCTGCCGAGGAAATTCACTGACTGGTTTTACTGGCAAAGAATCCAGATATTCGATGTCATTCCTTTGATTGAATGGCTCTGGAAGAACAGCCTCAGGAATTTCAGCATCCTGCTCTCCACAGAAAATTTACATAAAGTGTAGCAATAAGAGGAAATTACTTTGGAACATAAAATAAATACAGGCACCAAAATTAAAGGAAATTTTTTAATTAAAAAAGGTGTCTAACCTAGCACCATTACTTAAATAAAATGTAAAAACATGAAAAAAAAAAATTTACCCATGTACATATATTGACATGATAGGATCTGTTAAAGAACTCTCAATATGAGCCATCTATATGGATCCGAAACTACCTCATTTTAGTTTTTGGATATTTAAATATACAGCAAAAAGACTAGCTGATTTACTTAGAACACCATGAAATGTTTAATATTACTAATATGACAACAACAACATCAAGCCTTTACCCCACTACATGGAGTTATCTACACGAATCTTTTTTCTCTATTGTGTCTTGTTAAGAGTCAAATTCTCATTTAGATTTATTAAATAAATGTCATTTCTAATATTTTCTAACCAATTCTTTTTATGTCTACCTCTAACTTTCTTAACATAAGCCAAATTTAATACATAAAACGACGGCCTTCTGATGACCCGGTTAGGAGACTAGAGGTATTAGATTTGACTTATGTTAAGAAAGGTAGGGGTAGACCTAAAAAGACTTGGTTAGAAAATATTAGGAATGACCTTTCTTTATTAGATTTAAACGAGTATTTGACTTTTAATAGGACACAATGGAGAAAAAGGATTCATGTAGCCGACCCCACGTAGTGGGATAAAGGCTTGATGTTGTTGTTGTTGTTGTTACTCTCCAAACCGGGTCATCAGAAGGCTACTGTTTTACGTAACCAATCCATCTAAGGCGACTCTCTCAAATCTTATTGATGAGGACATCGTTCAGAGATTCAGACACGTGTACCAACGACGGAATCGTAGATTGACAGCTATGATTCAACGTCTCTACTTTTGATGCATTATGTTTTATTTAGTTTTGTTGTATGCATTATGTTTTATTTAGTTTTTGTTGTTTTCCGATTTTACCCCTATGGGAAAATATTTTGTTATTGTTGCCCATAAGGCAAGTTTGTACTTTTCCTTTTCAAGTTAGAGACCTATATATAGTGGTCCTATGTGTTGTAATAGATTGATGAATGATTAAATGAATTTTCGTTTTGTCTTCTTCTTCTTCCAGTGAGTGCACTAGAGAGAAGGGAGAGCCCAACGTGTGAGAAAACGCAATACCCAACAGTCACTAGAAGAGTCCGTGGCTCGTGGTCTTCTTTTACGTTTTCTATTCTATCTTTGATTATCACCCACCGACTTCTCGTCATCCTTCCAAAATACCCCCTTGAACCCCACCTAATTCCACTTCCACACCCCCACCCGCCGGCCTAGCTCTTGACCACCTCAACCCAACGCAAAGCCCGCTTCTTCCCTCTTGATCGCTGGCCCCACTCACATCTCAAATCATTATGATGATTTTAATCATCATAATGACTCCCTAAATTGGCTCTGACAATAAAGGAAGGAATTAGAAAATTTTGAAATTCAAAAACTTTTCATATTTATAAAATTCTAAGCAAGGAAAGTTTTCAAATTTGAATCCAATCTAATTTAATTTAGAGAGGAATCATTATTTTCCCTCCTAATTGGCCTTAACTTGTTTGGAAAGTGCTTAACTCCCCCACAATCCTTTCCCCTCTCCCTCTTAATGCCGCCGGCCCCATGCATGGGGATTTTCCCCTTTGCTTCCTAATGAGGCCTCTCCCTCTTTAATTTTGAATTCAATTTCAAAATTAATTCCCTCCAATTCTACTTAAAATCTAAAATTAATTTTAGATTTAGATTAAAACTTCCCTCCTCTCTTCAACCTAACCTAAGTCCTCTCATTCAATCCGCCCTTCTCTTTTCCCCACCCTTGGCCGCCCCTCCTCTTGTGCCTCCCCTCTTGTGAAACCCTTGTTTGGTCCTGAGGTTGATCACGGACTCGCTTACAACGCCCTAGGAGAAATCGACATTCTCCGCTGCCCTTCTACGAGCCTGACTGGAAGTACGACGAATCGGTGGAAGACTACGTCAACCGTATCCTCTACTGCTTAGTGGAGACGATTGATCTTCAAAAACCCAAGACGCCTTGGCTTCTCATTTGGAGATCCACCCCTTCTCCAACCCCAGCTACCTCTCCATCAACGAAGGTCTTCGATACCATCTTCCTAGTGGTAGTCTCTTTCCTCATATGCTTCGTCTTCATCCGCTAACGCCTAAGAGTGATTGAGTGAGAAGGAACTCTTAGTGACTATATCCTGATGTTACGTAGTGGATTCTTGTTTACTTGCTATTAACATTATTATTTTGTTTTCATAGTTATTGTGATTGTCTCGCTAACCTACTTGTAACTTTTGTCATCACTTAATCTCTTAATGAAAATTCTACGAATTTGACTTGAGTGAAACATAAGTTTTTAACTAGCAAAGTTCATGTTCAATATTTATTGATAAAACCTAAGCAACTCTTGTCGCATGTATGTTTCACATCACTTTAAAAAAAAAAAAATGTATGTTTCACATCACTTATCTTCCATTGCAGCTACTCCAACCTTTTCACGCATATGCCCGTTTCGAATCACATCTCTAAGAGCAAAGTCACTCATCCACCTGAGCATCCTCATCTTTGCAACACTTAACTTAATATTATGTTTCTCTTTGAATGGCCAGCATTCTACATCATAAAATATTGCAGGTCTCACCACTATCTTATAAAATTTTTCCTTTAGTTAGGGGGACTTTTCTATCACAAAACAAGCCCAATGCATTCCTCCATTTCAACCATTCACATGAATTCTACTAATAATATCTACAACTATTTCACGATCACTATGAACAATAAACCCAATATTTCTATTAATAATGTTTATATTACATTATTACTAATATTCATCTCTTCAAAAAAAAAAATATATATATATATATATATATCTCGGTGTTCAGCTTGGTAAACTCATAATCTAATTATAATTACTTAGCATTCATTCCTCATTTTCATCAGCCCTGCAAACAAGCGAATGCAGCCATTGTGACCCTATTCAACAGTAGGTAAGGCCTTTTTGTCTATGCACAAGGTTAATGAGATCATCCAACCCCGCAAAACAAAGAGAAGCATAGAGGTATCCTAAGGTAAGAGTGAAGGAAAGAGGCAGCGAAGGAGTGAATGTAGTTAAAGTTCAAAATAGATATATATTTCTCTTCTATTAACCACGGTGTTATTTCTGAAAAGATTGAAAATTCTGAGAGGCGTGTAAGTATTATTAAAAATTTAGTAGTGTTATATGTAAATAAGCTACTTTAGGATACTGAATTACATAAAAACACTGTTTATTATAAAAAATGTTGGATGCATAATAAACGAGGAGATATCGTTACCTTAATATCTCCCACTTTGTAAATACTACTAAAAATAACTAAACCCCATATAATATAGCGTAAGGAATAAATAATAGTTAAGAAGCTCAACACCTCAAAGTCCCCACGGACAAGTTTCGAGCACCAATAAGATATTGAGGACATGTCTTTGAACTTCTATTCATGAACTGATGACACATAAACCTATCCATCCAACAATGTCTTTATTCTTTTAGAATATTCCCTCTGTTGCATCAGAAGTTCTTAGGCAGTAAATAATATATTTCCTAAAATCTAAAAATAACCAGGGCTTATTAAAAATTCCAAATGGATGAGAGGTAGTGACAAAGGTTGCAAATACAAAAATATTCCAAGTTTTAAAGAATTAAACAGAAGTTCAATATTGTAGTTCATTAATTCAGAAATGGAAAATAGAGCACATACTTGATTGGCATTGAACTGCTCCAACAATCTCACACGAAAGGCACGGCATAAAGCCATAGATACAGTCTGTCCAGGATATGATGGGCATCCCATGATATCGAATAAAATTCTGACTTTCAAGTCTGGTTTCATACATAAAGTTCTCTCATCGTGTACAAGTACCTTCTCTATCTGAATAGCATCAGGAAATACATATTTCATCTGCGCAAGATGGGCGTATGAGAACTTCCTAAAAAGGACAGGACAAAATCAGTTTCAAGGTCAACTATATTTTTAATCAAATGTGAACTATGTTATTCCTGCACCTTTTAGTCAATATCTCCACTTGAGTGCAAATGTCCCGAAAAGTTGGCAACCTCTTCCTCAAACCCAACAATCTAACAGAGGAACACATTCGATCAAAAAGGTCGGCCAATGTCTTCAACCTGGAATGAAAGGCTAAAAGTTAGGAAATTGAAGGTAATATATAGGAGATGAGGGTGACAGGTTTCACAAACATACTTTTCTGGAAGTTCTGTGGATTTCAATGTTATTTCAGGAATATGTGTTTCTGATAGGATGTCTTGACTTGGAGAATTATCATTAAGTTGTTTTCCTTTACTAGTCAGCTTCCGATCAGATTTTTCGGGAGTGGGAGATGCAATTTTATTTCCAGAACCTTCGTCCACAACAGCTTCTACATTCTTTATTGCTGCTAGAGAAACATTTGTACTTTTTTCCACACCAGGAATTATCTTTCTGCGCCTAAATTCAATTGGAGTTTGCTTCTCTTTACTTTTTTCATGCTCCATCAGCTGTCCGATTGCTAATAGAAAAAGGACAAAGAAAGAAAATTCATATGAGGAATTTTTCAGAATCATTTCTTTCTTTCTTCACTTTTGCCGAAAACTTAGACTTCGTTTGGGACAACTTCTTTACTGCTTTCTAAATTGGCTTTCTAGTACAAAAACTTCTTAAATTAGAAACTTTTGTGGTAAAAAGCAGTATATAAAGTAACAAAAAAGCTGTTCCAAATGAAGCCTTAGAAATATGTTTTAGCATCCAATTATCTATATCTTTATTAAAGCTTTGGTGGTAAGGGCATAAAACTATTTGATGGTGAGACAAATATCTCATATTAGATCTCATTCCATGTGTGTCACATCTTCCAAATGTTAGGAGTGGCAAATATCTTATATTAGATCTCACTTTACTTTTCATTCTTGTCACATAGACAAACATGGATTCTTAAAAATTGATTGGATGAGTAACAGTCACTTCTCAAATTGATGCTGCAAGGTCTAAACGTAATAATTAAATTAACAAGGCCAGGCTCTAACATAAGTTACTAAATACTTAAATAGCACACAATGATCACAAGAGTTGTTAGGTCTTTAAAACCAGTCCTTCAATCAAAATAGCCCATACCAGAGTGCATACTCTCAGCAAAAAATATGAAAACTAGAACTTCATTTTAAATAGAAGTTACTGGCAGAAAATTGAGAAAATCATCATCATCATTGACGGATTTATCCTAAAATTTGGAGCCAAGGTTTGCATGAGATGTTAAAACTATTATAAGTAATTTTTTTTTTTTGTACAACTTCCTTCCATGTTGCCTTAAGCCTATCCATTTCTACCATCTTAATCTTCTAACGAAAATTTTGTCTTGCTGCCTAATGGGCATAATTTTTATCTTTCAGGCAGAGTACATAAACCACCAAAGTCTATTTTCTACTATCTAACATTCAATAGTATTACTACTAATATTACTCCAATAATCTCTCTATGCTTCATAATTTTGCCATGCATTCATCTTATAATTCTTATTTTGTTATGCATAGCTAAGCTAATAGAGACTTCTTTTATTGTCAATACTCAAATCCATAAAACACAGCTAGCATAGTTACAACTTCATTAAATTTTAATATTGCCTTCATAATATTCTCTGATCACTTAATTTTTTAGATGCATTCCCAAATTTTAACCAATCAATCTTAACACTAGAAGTTATGTCCTTACCATTATACTCACTCTTCTATACAACAGATCAAGATAACCAAATCTACTATATCCATATCATTGTTTAAAACTGAGCAATATAAGATAATTCCAATGAAAGAAAGCTCGAGGCGTAAGCTTTCTTTATGAGGCTTGGGCCACGGCTTGGCTGGGAAAAGGTCAATGCGGAGGGGAGAGAACCGACAAGAGCTACTCTATGGTCTCTTGACCAAGCTGACGGCGAGAGAGTCGGCGAGAGCGATGCAAATTGCAGATGGGGCAAATGTGGTAAAAAGAAATTTAAAGGGGCTGTTTGGCAACATGATTTACGCAGGTTTTGAGCAGGATTTAGCGTAAATCCTCCCAACCAGGCATAAATCTCATGCGGAATAAATCCGCCGTTACAACCTTCTTACGCGGTAAATCCCGGATTTACTAAATCCGGGAATTCGGCGGATTTACGGGATTTGGCCGAAGACGTGCGCGAATGGGAGAAAATGGTTACCTTGGCAACGACTGAGCTCCCTCCCGTCGTCGTTACTTCCGATCCAACAAAAGGAACGGGAGTTGTCGTGACTTCCGACCCGACAGGAAGGAACGACGTCGAAGGAGGCGAAGAAGTCTTTGATCAACTCGTTCAAAACTTCACCTCACGCGCGAAGCAGGCTAAGTCGAACAGTAACGAACAACTTAGAAGAAGAATAGAAAACCCTAAGCCTACGGCTACAGAAGGACAGAGCAGAAATTCTTGAAATCGGCGGCATTGGGCATTCGCATAAAATTTAAATAGGAATTGATTAAACTAATTTAATTAAAATTAATCAAAATATAATATACTTAATAATTAAATAACTACTAAATTTAATTGATAATTAATTTTAATTTTAATTGTTTTATTTAAAATAATTACTTAATTAGTTATTAAAGATAATCAAAATTAAAAAAAAAATTAATAATTAATTTATAAATAATTAAAATAAAAATTAATAAGTAATTTCATGATTAAATTACTTTCTGATTATATTATTTTCGTAATTATAATTTATTGATGATAATTAAAATTGAAATTATTAGGTAACTCGTGCTTAAAATATAAATTAAATTTAAAACTCAAAGCCTAAATGCCCTGCCATTCAAATTAGACATAAATATAATTTAGCTTAATTAATAGAATTTAAAATATTAATAATTAATTAGATTAATTAAATAATTTAACTAGCTTAATTTAATAATTAGTTTATAGTTAGTAATTAAATTTAATATAATTAACTATTAAATGCCCTTGTTGGATCAAATCATTTCACCTCAACCTATATAAAAAAACTTAGAATACTTGAGTATATAAAGGAGTTTATGATCATGTTTTCATTTTTCATAACTTGATAGTTAAATCTTGTTTTAAAATATTTATAATTAAATTTAATGCTAATTATTTTAAATATGGCAGCTTAAAAGCCTAACAAGCCAATGGTTTAAACAATTCATTCTTCCAACCAAATTCAGGTTGATTTCCAAATAGCTAACAAATAAAAATAACATTGTTAATTAATCATTAAGTTTAATAAAACAATTAATTAATGTAAAAAAGAACAATTTGTAGCATGCGCATTAAATACTTTGGTTGATTATGACTTAATGATCATGAAGTTAATAAAAACCAAAGATACAAAATTAAGGGACCAAAATAAGCTATTGCTCTAAAGAGCTACATCAAACTAAAAAGGTCCCAAAAAGAAGAGAAATACAAACAAATAACAACTAAAAAACAGCTCAAACCAAATAAGTCAAATGACACAACACTAATACAAAACTCCAATAATTAAAATAAAATGATTCCATCTGATCATAAAAAAAAGCTCCATATGAATACATATAATATAACAACTTGTCCCACATCACTTCATATTTAATCCATATAGCCAAAGAATTTTAAGCAGCATCCATACTCAAGCAATCCATTGAAATTTTAAATGCTACACTTTGAGAATTCCACTTTGATGGAAATCAATTATATGTCCCCTTTTTCAAAAATGAACTCCATCCATAAAGCTTCTTTGGGTCCAAACAAACCACTAATTCTTTAGATCCAATTGTTTGATAGCAATTCAAATGTTCCACCATGAAAAATCACCTTCTTTTGCCTTTTTTCCTACCTCGTTTTTCACCTGTACGCCAAAAACCTTTTTGAATGATTCGCCACACATTCAAACTATACATATCATCCACCGAATCATTCAAGTCTTCCCTGATAGCCTCGCAAGGCGAGGAAGCATCCCGATCCAGCCAATCAGAGTTATCCAAAGATGAATCCTTCATGTTCAAAGACAAATGAGCTTTCAAAGCATCAGATGAGATTAGAGAGATCGGAACATCTATAAATGACACCGTTCATTCGCATTTGCAAAATAAGGTGACATGTCCATATCATGAGACTCATCGATAGCATTACTAGAAGATCCATTAGGCACCACTGAGTTAACAAGGCAAAAATCCTTCTCAATGCTGATAGGCGAAGCACGTGGCTGAAATTCAGTAGGAATTAACTGTATTGTTATAAGTAAGATTAGGTAAATTAACTCTGACCAAGCTTCATATTTCATAGGAAACTAAACAGCTCCAAAAAAACTACAAAGATAAATTAATAAGATCTTCCTGTTATCCTGTATCTATGATGGGATTTCAATTACCAGATGAGCGGTTTGAACGGCTCACACTCACCAAATACTCGAAATCAGAATCTTGTGTTTGGAGAAATTATTCTGTGCTAATATCGGATCGTTTTGAGACAAATCAGAATGCGTCATGTCACCCGGTACACAACAACCGTACAGAATAAAAAATGATGTGACACGTCCTAATTCGTCTCCAAATAGCATCCGATGTTCACACAAAATAATTATTCTCGTGCTTAAGGTAAAGTGGTAATAAAAGACTTTCTTTTAAAGAATAAGAAGTAATTAAAGTTGAATCTTTTTTTAAACCGAACCAGATTGAATTTAGGTTCTGTTTTAGAGAACTTTTTTATTATTTTATTTTTTCAGGCAGTATGCATAATTTTATTTGACTAATATTTTCTTATTGTTTTTAAACAAATTTTATACAAGAAAATTATTTTTAACGATATCTTCGAAAAAATTTATTTTTCTCATAGAAACTTTACAATTAGTTAGTTTTATAAAAAACTACAGTAATATCAAAGAGTTCATATTAAGGCTTTGAAGCTTTTTCTGTTTTTTACTTTTAAAAACTTCTTTCTCTCGCAGAGTTGAAAAAATACTTTTCTAAAAACCATTTTTTAAAGGTAAAATTTTAAATTAGCGAGCAATCAAAAATATGTTCAAAGCAAAGCCTAAATCATTAACAACCTTAATCTTTAGCCAGATAATGAAAAAAATTCAGCATAATCCAAAATTGGCGTACCAAAATGAAATTGCCCAAAAGTGCTCGAACCAAATCTACTACAACAGTCTAAATAAAACAGAACAACCATCGATAAGCAAATCTAAAACAATTTACAAACAACTAATCTTACACACAGAACAACAACAACAACAGCAGCAACAACAGCAACGAGATTTTCTTCTTTCTTCTCATGCTCTAAATGACACCACTTTGGAAGATAAACCGCGAGGAAATTATAAGAAGATTGAAGAGGCGATAAGAACTGAAAACTTGCCAAAAGAAGAAGAGATCAGAATCACACAGGCATGAAAACTCAGTTAAAATAGGAGATCAACGCGTCATTCCTCCTTGCACAGGCGGCGCCTGGTTCACTTGCATTTTCTCCATGTTGCCTTGCCATCCTGCAACAAATCCCATGGCCCATTATGTGTCAAAATCCAGCCAAATATCTTCACAAAATATACACAACAAAGACCAAAACTTGTTGCCGAAAATTTAGCAAATACCTGAGGACATGTTAAATCCACGGTTCTGGAGCTCACGATAAGCCTGGCAAAGCGCACAGGCCTCACAACAGCAGTGGACAAGACAATCATTGCAGGGGCTTTCTGGAAGAGCATATAGCGCGCGCAATTTTGAACGATAAAAACACGAATATAAGCACTGGCATCCCGTCACCAACGCGATCAACGTGTACAACGCCCCACTCGTCCCACATGCTTCAAAATTATAAACCAAATCATTAAAACACTCATTTAGATTTCGTCTCAAACGAATCATTAATCTTTCATAAAATCATGACAAAATGCAAATCAATGGAGCTTCGTTGGTCGCTTACATGTTGAGCCGCGATCAACTATCTCTGCAATCCGGCCGAAGGTGATGCAGGGGCACCAGAAAGTGAGGCAACCTGTAATAGAAATTCAGTAAGCTAATTCTAGTTGAGACGACAGATCTCAAAGGTGAAAAGTAGTATATAATAAGTCTTTATGAGCTTACAGGTGCTGCAATCATCGAAGCAATCGCAGAGGCCGGTGGACCATTGAGCAGGAGCTTGAGATTGGAATCCGGGCATTGGGATCGGAGGAGCGCCGGAAGGATAGCCGGTGGCCATTGGAGGAACAGCGTTAGGCTTGTAATCCGCCATTGACGAGTTGGAGGTGAAGATGAAGGAAAGGAGTGCTGGCAAAATCTAGCTTGAGAGCTTTTCTGCCTCTTTGCTATGGAGATGAGGCCGGGATATTACATATATAATCTTGCTGCTCGGTTGTATAATGTGGTTGATTTGACTGAATCACGATGGAAAGCTAAGTCAAAATAAGAGTAATGTAAATCGTGTGGACCATGGAGCGGTAGCTGCTAGGAAGATTTCGCCTGCATATTAGATAAATAAAATATTAAGGGTTGTCGTAATTTTTTTTTGGAAGTTGAATGTAAGCCTGATTTTATTTAAAAATGTTTATAAGCTGTCACGTTTATTAACTTAAAAATGTTTTTGATTCTTTCTTTGTAGCGGTGTCAAAACCCAGCTCATTTTGTTCTAATGATTAGGAGTTTTGATTATTAATAAAGAGGCTTTGAATTTAAAGCTTGCATATTTGTTGTAAGCGTAAGTTTGTCTTAATTAGCCTAAATGTTAAAAAAAAAAAAAACAGATCAATAGGTCAGATTCAATCTGACTTGAAGTTGACTCGATTCGAATTCGGACAACATGAACTTGACCCGTTTAACAAATAGATAAAAAATTGGACCAAATCCGATCTGCTATCACCTAATGGCCAAAACCTTACCTGATAATCCTTTTTTATAACTTTTAAACAATATATTTTACATTAATTGATAAAAATAAAACAGTCATACTAACAAATAAAAAAAATAAATAGGTAATTTCAGTTCAAAATAAGACTGATGGGTCAACTCAAACGATTCGTTTATTAAACAGGTCAAAATTCTTGACCCAAGCCTGACCCGATTATTAAATGAGTTAACTCAAACTTGAATTTTTCTGATCGGGCTAAGGTTGAGTTAGCCTATCGAGTCATTTTTTGATACCCTTATTTCTTTGCATTGAAGATGATGACCCTAGAATGATTATTGAAGCTAATTGATGCGTGGCTTATTAATGTTGTGCCACATAAAATAAAATATGAGTGAATATTGTATAAAAATTAGGTCGTTGAAGAAAGCATGCAGCTTCTTAGTATCATTTTTTTTTAAACAATGGACAAATAAAAATTATGATAATGATCTGAAAAATAAAACAATAAAAAAACTATCACAAATGAAACCTTAGTGGCCTATTTAATGATGCATAAAGTTATTTATTCAAAAATACAGATTGAAGCCTTAAATTTTATAATTTATAAGTCATCTTTAAAAAAAAATTACGAGCTACAAAATTTCCTTTATTATAAGCTAATAGAAATTTGTATAACATGTAGAATGTTATTTAAGAAATGGTATGGACTGGTTTTATTAATAGTATAATTTAATTTTATTTTTTTGTGAAATATTGATTTATAATTTTTTTCTTCTTTAGCATTGCTAAACATTTGCTTAAGATGTAAGAAAAAATAATTATTCTATAAATAAATCCTCATTTTGTTTGATGACATAGAGAATAATTAATATGATTTCAAGAAATTCTGAAATTTTTTATTAATCAAATCATATATAATAAAAATTGATAAAATTTACTCAATTTAAAAAAAATGTAAATTTAATACATTTAATGTATTGATGATATTTGTATTAATTTTTTAAATCCTAACACTATATACTTTATGCTTGTAAAATTAAATTAATTTATTTAATAATAAAATGCACATGATTGCTGGCCAATGGCGAAAGATTTAAATAAATCAAGTGGTACTATAATTATATTTAAAAAATTAATGCCAGCGACCAGATTTAAATTTCAATGCATGAAGTTTACCTTATGATATAGTAAAAAAAAAAACGTATTTAATTTCGAACGCGTACATTCCAGCTTTTCCGTTTGAAAGAGTCCAACGAATTAAATGAGCAAAAAAAAAAAAAAAAAAAAAATCGTTTTAGGCCTTTTTGACACTGAAGGAAAATGCTGTAGTTGGCTTTTTCATTATTATAATAGCCTTTAGTCTTCCTATGTTCATTATTAGGAAGAATATCAATTGAAGGGCGAATTATTGCATCCGGTCATCTGACATCCGGATGCGTCACATCAATCAAATATATTGGGGTTCGGTGTATTTTGCTGATGTGTCGTGTCTGGATTAGTGTCCGGACGAATCCGGACACCGGACGCAAGAATTTGCCCAATAGAAGGGTGATGGAAAATTATTAGGTCCGGACATCGGATCTAGATATAGGTCCGGATATATCCAATTAAAATTTGACATGTAGGCTGTGTTTTGACTGCACTTCACCTACGCTTTTGACGTTATTGACTTAAAATTCTACAGACACGTGTACATTCCACATGTCAATATTTTATTGGAGTCCGGACGTATCTCTACGTCCAATATCCGGACCTAATAAGTAGAAGACATGGTCCCATAGCACATCTGAGAATTTTAGCCCATTAAATTATTGAATTGGGTTAGAATCGATCTGCCAACTCAGAATTAACCTGATCTTGACCTGTGAAATTGCTAATATTTTAAACTGTTAAACGGATTATCATGATATAATAGTCATTCACTTCAGAGATTAAGGAATGAAATTCCTTTTTCTTAGCTCCCACTCACTCTCATTGCTTAAGAAATATGAACTTGAAATTCATCTTAACGAGCCCAACTAAATAAGAAAGTTAAATTAGATATCTTATAGTGTTGGAAATGTAATCAGATAAGGGCTCCTGAAGTTTTTGTTATGGCTTGTGATGTGTTGTGCATTTCAATGTTTCCAGTTGCTTTTGAAAGTGCATTTCGTAATAATGGTAGAATTCTTGATCAATAGTGAATTACATTTAAATATGATATTGTTGAAGTATCGGTATATATAAAAGATTAGTTATATGGTGAACAAGATAAGACATCAACTTAGGCTTCGTTTGGGACGGCTTTCTTACTACTTCTAATAGCAGGTTTTTAATATAAAAATTAATTTTTTTGTACTAAAAAGTTGTTTTAAGAAGCAGTAAGGAAGCCGTCCCAAATGAAGACTTAGGCTTCGTTTGGGACGACTTTTTTATTGCTTTCTAAAACGGAGTTTTATTACAAAAATAAAAAATTTTGTACTAAAACTCCGTTTTAGAAAGCAGTAAAAAAGCCGTCCCAAACGAAACCTTAGTTGAAATATTATTTGTATAATTTCTGAACTTTTTATTTTCTTTTCTTTGAGATTTAAAAGATCTTGAACTTGGTACTGTCATGGAGAATATCATAGAATCATTAGGTTTTGCCTTGGCTTCCTTTCTTAAAAACAAAAAAGCAAAAGCTTGTTTTACACTTACTAATCTTGTTAAGTGATGTTTGGATATAGCTTCCGTTTGGGAGCTTTGAAACCTTTGGGAGTTATCTCTGGAGAGTATTTTCATTTGCTGAAACTGAAAGAAAGGCTGAAGATTGATTTGCATATTGTTTAGCAACTTTGAAAGTTTTTATTATTTTTATTGCATTTCATAATTTGTGTTCTCTTCTGTTGTAGTTTGTTGAATATATGTTTCGTATGTAGAGGCTTTGTCAATGAGGGTATTTTTATTTAAAACTTGTTGTATATTGAAGTGTAAGGTTTTGTTTGGGACGGTTTTCTTTATGCTTTCTAAAACAAGTTTCTTGTACAAATTTTTTTTGAATTTAAAAAATTTTTATAAGAAAGTCATTCTAAAAAGCAGTACAAAAGCTGTCACAAACGAAGCCTATGTGAGGAAATAGAACTACTTTAATTTTTATTTCTTACTTTTGTTTGTGCATGTTAGCTTTCAGTACTTTTTTTTATTTAAATGTATTAGTTGGTCGGGTCAAACTGGTTGGGGACGAATTGGGTTCGAGTTCAAGATTTTCTCCTGGGTCGAGTTCGTTCAATGCAGGTCAACTTCGGGTCAGGCTCGAACCCAACCTGATGCGAGAACATTCGTGACAGTAGAGAGATAAAGAGTGACGTCTTAGCTTTGAATGAAGATCTAACACATACAGATAAGATAAGAGTGCAACAATCATACGAGTCACCAAATTTTTTATGTGGAAAGCCTATGATAGGAAAAGAAAAACTAAAGGGGTTAGTCTAATTAAAATGAGTCTACTAGTGTTTGTCGTTGATTACAAATGATACTCTTTCTCGATGGAAGGTGTTGACTTAATGTAGCAAATATACATCGTATAAAGTAAATTACATGATTGTGGTTATAAAAATTCAATGATATGAGAGCTTATCTCAAGATAATGTTGGCATCTTTGTTTGGTCGATAAGATCATAGTCAAGTGATAGGGGTCGGAGGGATCATAGTCGGACGATTAAGATCATAGATATCGTAGTTAGCTGACTGAGGTTAGAGGGATCGTTGTCATGTGACAATGGCCTGAGGGATCTTAGTCGACGGGTGATTGTGGTGGTAAGGACTGTAGTCGGGCGAAGACCTAACGATAGCTACCAGACAAATGTTCAATGGCAATGGTTGGGTGGAGGTACGACAGCGACAACATGGCTGTGGTCTTGCGTCAGCGGCGGCAATGTGGACATCGGGCGAAGATAGGTCGGTGGAAGTTCGGTGGCAGGTGCCTGGCAATGGGTTCACCGACAATGGTGCTTTGGGATTCATGCCTTAAAACTCTTTTTAATATCTAGCCCAAGGTCCAAGCCTTCCAAGTCCAAACCCCTTACATGTCTTAGAGCATTAGTTCAGCATGTAAGTGTCTCATCAGCAGTGTCAGAATTAAGCAATCATTGGCTTCTTGGATTCATCTCGTCTAGCCAATTGATTCTACTATGAGTATGTTATATTTAGATATCATTTGATCACTCAATTAATATTTTGAAGATTACAAATATTCTTCAAGCTATTTATTTGATCACATGTGGCTGAGATTGGACCAATTTTGGTATCATTGGGTTCGTCTCGTCGAGACGCTCAATTTGAGTATATGTTGCTGAGATTGGACTTCAATTGGTCCTGAATTTATGTTTAGAATTTCCAATTGAGATATGCCTCAAGATTCATGCCAAATCATCGAATCAAGATGATTTTTGGTGACATAACAATATTGAACTTTAAATGAGGAAATAAAACTGATTTAATAGTTATTTCTTACTTGTTGTGTATGTGCTTGTTAGCTTTCAATATATTTTTTAGTTAAATGTATTAGTGGGTTGGGTCAGGTCAAATAGGTTGAAAGCGGATTGGTTCAATTTTTTGACCCAGGTCAAGTTCATTAGATGCAGGTCAACTTGGGGTCGGGCTCAATCCCAACACCAAACTCTATTTTGACACCCTTAAATCATTAAGGTGCTATACCTCCTTACAAGTTATATATATATATATATATATATATATATATATATATACTTTTTGAAGATTAGATTTTATTTGGAACGACTTTCTTACTATTTTTCAAAGTAGCTTTCTAGTGCAATTTTTTTAAAAAAAATTGTACTAAAAAGTCATTTTAAGAAGCAGTAAGAAAGCAGTTCTAAAATGAAGCATTAATAATCTATCAATCATTTGCATTTGTATTTAAGCCACACAAATTGAGTTTAGCGAGTGGAAAGTTTTGATCGAAAGGAGATAACACCTACACAAACTATTAATTAAGCCTGCCTTAGCTTGATAATATTGAATCATTAACAAACTTCATCATTAACCCTTCATTAAAAAAAATTCATTATTATTATAACTCCAAATTCAGACAAGAAGTATGAAATTTTCCAAAAGAGATGGAACAAAATCTCCTCTGTGATTCAAAAGCAATTCAAACAACAAAGTCTAAAACAATGTACAAGAAATTAATCTCACACAGACAACAACAAGAAGACTTTCTCTTTCTTTGACGCCCACTTCTTATATGGAAGATGATTTTAGTGAAAACTGTTGATATGAAAAAGTGAAAATTTACTGCAACACAAAACAGGAATCACAAATGCATGAAAAACTCAATTGAAAACAAAAAATTATGTGAGGATGATCTCTATGATGCATTTTGTATCATCATATCCTCACATAATTTTGTTGATTAACGCATCATTCCTCCTTGCACAGGTGGTGGATGGATCATTCCAACACCCTGCATTCTTTCCATGTTGCCATGCCATCCTGCAAAAATCCCAACCTCCTTTCTGTCAAAATCCAGTTAAATCTCTTTATAAAGACAAGGGAACTGTGGATCTAAGAAGTAAAGATGCAGGGTAAGGCTTCATTTGGAACGACTTTCTTATTGCTTCTTAAAGTAGCTTTTAAGTAGAAAAAAAATCAAAGATGCTTTAAGAAGCAGTAAGAAAGTCATCCCAAATGAAGTCTAATAAGAGAGATGGAGAGATACCTAGAGGCATGTTAAATCCACGGTTTTGGAGCTCGCGATAAGCTTGGCAAAGTGCGCAGGTCTCACAACACCAGTGGACAAGACAATCACAGCAGGGGCTTTCCGGCAGCCCATATAGCGCGCGCAATTTGGAACGATAAGCACACGAATATAAGCACTGGCATCCCGTCAACGCCGCGATCAACGCGTACAACGCTCCACTCGTCCCACACGCTTCAAAATTATAAACCAAATGATTAAAACACTCATTTAGATTTCATTTGGGACAAATTTCTTACTGCAGCTTTTTTGTACTAAAAATTGTTTTAAGAACAGTAAGAAAGTCATCCCAAACGAAGCCCTAATCTTTCATAAAATCATGACAAAATGCAAATCAATAGAGCTTCGTTGGTCTCTTACATGTTGAGCCGCGATCAACTATCTCTGCAATCCGACCGAAGGTGATGCAGGGGCACCAGAAAGTGAGGCAACCTGTAATGGAAATTAAATCAGTTAATTTAGCTGCGAAGGTGGAAACAGAACATTAATGAATCTCACAGGTGTAAAAGATCATTTATAAGCTTACAGTTGCCGCAATCGTCGAAGCAACCGCAGAGGCCAGTGGACCATTGAGCGGGAGCTTGAGGTTGAAATCCGGGCATTGGCATAGGAGGAGCGCCGGCAGGATAGCCAGTGGCCATTGGAGGAACAGCGTTTGGCTTGTAATCCGCCATTGATTTGACAACTGGTGGCGATGATGAAAGTTTATAGAGGAACGGAGCTTCGCTGCCTATTTGATAAGTAAATGAGGCTGCTTTATTATATATTGACAAGGGAGGGAGTATTCTCTCAACCTGCGTCATTAGCTGTCTTCGTCTGCATATAGAAATGGTTGATTTGGCTTGATCGTCGTGTAAATCTTGTTGACCAAGTGGTAGTGGTAGCTGCACAGCAAGCTTCCAGGATGATACAAGTTGCAAATAGATAAAAATGTCATGGTCGTTGAAAGTTTTAGGGTTTAGGGTAGCTGCACAACAAGTCAACAACCTAGGTATTTGGCCGGACCTTTCGGACACTGGGTCAATTGGCCACGGGAGGGCGAACCGGCGAAGGCTGGCCAGGCATCACCATTAGGGATGGAAGGCGTCGCCGCCAGGGGATGAGCGGTCCGGATCCGTGGGTCATCCAGCGGAGGCTGTTTTTCTGGTCAATCCGAATCTGAACCTATTTTACAAACAGGTTGGTACGAACCTAAATTTTTTCAGGTCATGTCAAAATGGCAAATTATTGGGTCAGGTGACCGGAGGCGAAAAATAAGTTCGGACATCCAATAAAAATTTGCCGCGTCACCTTGCGTTTTACTTGCGCTTTTTGACTTGCGCTTTAGTTGTGTTTTACCTGCGCTTTACCTGCGCTTTACTTGTGCTTTTTGACTTGCGCTTTAATTGCACTTTACTTACGCTAAATTTAAAATAATATTTTATTAATATCCGGACCTATCTCTGCGTTCGGTCACCTGACCCAATAATTTGCCCAACTTTTGACACCTTAATATATTGTGTTTTGTAAAATTTAAATTTTACACAGGATCATTTTGTATATATGTATATATTAATATATGTGTACATATATTTATATTATAAATGTCTTAATCCTAAATGAAATTTTACAGTTTATATATATATATATATATATATAATTTATTTATATTATATTTCTTACCGTTTATGTTTCGTACAAAATATATATACATATATTTATATATATTTCTTACCGTTTTATTTCGTTTGAGATAGATTTCTTTTAGTACAAAAATTTTTAATTCAAAAAAAAATATAATAAAAAATTGTTTTGACTAAATATAAGGTTGCATTATGACTCTCTTTCTGCTTCTTAAAAATTTTTGTAAAATAATTTTTTTCTATTAGAAAATTATTTAAGAAACAATAAGAAAATATCACAAATGAAATCTAAATTAACTCTTATTCAACATCATCATATTTAAACTTTGTACTCTGAAAATGCTTTGAAAAAAACAAATCTTGATTTTATGAAAAAATTTATTAATTAATCACTGCGTTAGGAATTCTTTCATGTTTGAAACATAAACTACTAAGCTAAAAAATGCCAAAATTTTGAAATGCCAATTCAATGGAGTTAAGAAGAGAGGTTGGCATTACATAATCTGTGGGCTTTACTTTGTAAAAGATATTAAATATTTATTTAATTGTATATATTTAATAATAAAGTACACATGCTAGTTGGTGAATGATGGAACTAACGCGGTATTATTATGCGATAAATTTTAATGCCAATTGGTATATGATCTGACCAAAGTTTTAGCGTTTTATGACGTTGGATAATTTCTTATATTGAAGGTTTTAATGTTTTATAATATATTATATTATATGAGGTAAGGATTATAATTATCTTCTATTTTTTCAAAAAATTCATTTTAATTTCTTGATTTTTAAATAAAAACTTAAATAATTTTATAAAAAAGACTAATTTGATTCATGTTTAAATAGTATGGAACTGAATTGATATTTTTTATGAGAAAATGATCATAACGATCAATTGATTCTTTATGAAAGATCAAAATAGTTTTCAACTATATTAAAGAACAATTTTGATCCGTAACTCTTTAAAGAAGATTCGATCCATTATAACTATTTTGATTCATTTTTTTAAATTTGAGAGATCAAAATTTTTATTTAATATAATTGAGAATCATTTTAATCATTAAAGAGCCAAGTGACTGTTTTAATTCTTTTCTCATATTTTTATATAATTAAATTTATTTTAGACGTAAAAAAAAAAAAGTTGGAATTGATTCGATCATTTTCTCTATATTTTATGTATAATTAAAAAAAAAAAGACTTTATTCTATCTTGAACAAGTATATTCCATTTGGTAGAAGGAGAGACAGACTTCAAAAGAAGCCAAGGAAGATGATTGGAAGTTTTTAAATTTATTTTGATATATTTTAAAATTCAAGAAGAATTTATTTGAAATTATTGATGTAATCATGAAATTTTAAAATTAATATTAAAATTTTGAGATCGAATTATGAATGCATCAAAATTTTATTTTGATATTTAATATATAAGAATTAGCAGGGAAGTTAAAATTATTAACAGATTTAAAATTAATCACTTATATACAACTTTGTCTTGATGTAAAATGGAATGAATATAAAACAAAAGCATAAAGGAAAAGAAATAAGACATAAATGTAAAGGGATGAATATGAGAAGCTGTGAAAGTGAAGGCATTATTTATTATAATAATTAATAGATATATTGCACGTCTTTTAAAGAATATTCTCTGTTTGCCTTGGTCGAATTTATCAAATAAAAGAATATATAGAGCGATAATAATAATGCGATCTTAAGAATTTTTTATTATTTTGCATGTCCAATGCCCTTTGTGTTCATAACGATTGATATTCTATTTTATTGATATTATTTTTGGTGGAGATAAGAAATGACGCTTTATTTATTTATTTATTTTTTTTTTATAATAAATAATTTGAAGTGTTTGTCTACATAATGATTGATATTATATTTTAAACATAATTGAAGGATACTTTATCGACGGCGATTTGAGACCGTGAGGTCGCAGGCGGGGTGAGGCATCAGCGGCTCGGCGAGTCATTGATGATGATGGGCATTCGACTCAACGGCGTGCACTCGGGACAAGACGACATGCCAATGTGAGCACTCGACGCAACAGCGGGCACTCAACATGATTCACGTCAAATGCGGTCAACGCGGATGGGATGCGAAGGGAAGGATGCATTCTTCCTGGGTTGAGTTCAAGTTTCAAGTCAACCCGAACGTGACCTGTTTGCGAGTTAACCCTAACCCGAAATTTTTGAGTCGAGTTCGAGTCGGATTTTCAAATCGTGTCAAATATTGACACCCCTGACTTCAACCATGCCGCGCTGGAATCCGAAACCTGGCTCTAATTTCTCCTGAAAATTAATAGAGATGGCAAAATGGTTGGAGGGGGACATATTTTATGAGTTAGCTCAAATCCTCAATTCTCTGATGATCTTTAGCTCTATCTGTCATTGAGTTAGAAGGCTGAGTTAAATTGATGGGTGCAGCACCATCATCATCTCCACTCTCTTCACCTTCACCTTAAAGTCCTTAATCATCATTAGCTTCATCATCATCATCTATTTTTAATGAGTAAATCAAAACATTTCTCTCTTAAAGGCGTCTCTATCAAATATGTTCCATACTTGGTGTCTTTTAGCACCCCTAAACCTTTCACATCACCCTTCCACAACACCATCAACCATTATCTTAAGAGGAGAGAAATTATTTTATAGACCGGATGCAGAATGTCATCCGGAGACCAATCAAAATGCATCATATCAATAGTACCGAGCCGCGGCACCGAGCAAAGAGTGACGTGACACATTCTGATTTATCTCCGGATGACATTCGGCATCAGCACAGAATAATTAATCCCTTAAGAGACTGCCTCTAAAGGCCAAGTCTAATTAAAAAAATGGGGGAAACAATTTAATATTAGTACACCAACTTATATTAGTATAATAATTTCAACATAAGTATATCATATTTTAATTATTTGTATTTGTTAAATCATAATATAAACATAAAATATTAAAGACTCTATCATGCAATAATAATCATATAATATAATCCAATTGATGTCATTATAAGCATAACTAAGGCTTTGTTTGGGACAGCTTTCTTAATGCTTTTTAAAGTCATTTTTTTAGTTTAAGAAGCATTAAAAAAGTCGTCCCAAACGAAACCTAAAACCCAATAAAGTTCAAATCAACATCAAAACAATTTTGGCAAGAAACAATTTCACACAAAACAAACATTAAAACTCCATTTCAATCAATTTCAAACCCATATTGAAACAAAATTTCTCTTAGCCATTCTAATCTTCATCTATCCAAAAAGCATCATGTCTTAATATAAGAGGTTTGACCTCTGAATCTGTGTGAATGGTTGGTAACTTGATGCCATTACCAACAGCACCTTCTTGAATATTTCAGAAGGTCAAATTTCAAATATTTAGTATTCGTTTGGAACATTTTTCTTAATGCTTTTTAAAATAGTATTTTAATTAAAAAATTTCTAAAAAAATTTCTTGAATTAGAAATTTTTTAAACTAAAAATTTATTTTAGAAAACAATAAAAAAATTGTCCCAAACAAAACCTTAGACTTAGCAGAGCACGTGGAAGTAGACCTACTCCAAAGTCATGACCAAGGTTGATAAAAATAACAGTGCATCATGATGCATCAATTAAAAAAAAAATGTCATCGCCATCATAAATACGAAATCAACGACGCTGCCAGTACAATTCATGCTCCTCATTAAGATTTCATTTAGGACGGCTTTCTTAATGATTAAAATAATATTTTAGTATAAAAATTTTAATTTTTTATTAAAAAGTTGCTCCAAGAAACAGTAAGAAAATCGTCTCAAACGAAGCCCAAGTGTAATCAAATTATTTTGTTTGTTTAATGAAATCATAAAGCCGACTGAAAAACAATGATGACCGGATATTCATAATCCAGCTCTTTTATTAATGCCAAAAGCTAACCGGCCAAGCGAAAGTATTCAGATCAATACAATATATTCAGCACATGTTCAACTTCGGACAAAGTCAAGCAAGAACTCTACACAGAAGAAAAAGGACAAAATCCAATAAACTGATTCCAAATTAGAATTTGGAACAGCCTTAGGTTTAGGTTTCATTTAGTATAGCTTTTTTATTGCTTCTTAAAATAGCTTTTTAGTATAAAATTTAATTTTTTGTACTAAAAGCTGATTTTAGACATGGTTTTATATTAGATGTATTATTTCTGCATGTGAATAACACATCGCAAACACTTACCCTCTTTCATTAGGTTGAAAGCCTCGTTGATATTGTCAAATATAATATCGTGTGTGACGAACCCGTCAAGATGAATTTCCTGCGAAAACATGTGATATAAACTTAGCAATTTTTTTAAGAAATCCCAATCACATCTAATTACCAATCAGATTAAGAGTGGAATACTTTTTCTCAAAATATGAAAATTTCATTCATAAAATGACAATAATGAAGAGAAGAAGAGACTGAGGCTTCGTTTGGGACGGTTTTTTTACTGCTTCTTGAAGCAGCTTTTTAGTATAAAAATTTTAATTTTTATACTAAAAAGCTGATTCAAGAAGCAATAAAAAAGCCGTCCCAAACGAACCCTGAATTTGCTAATGGAGCTTGCCTTGTCCATGCACTTCTGGACCAACGATGGAAGATCTGTTTTTGGTCTCCATCCTCCAAATAGAGAGCCCTTCAAAGTTTTTCCAGAAAGTAGCTGTGCATAATGTAATGACACTTCAGGATTTGTTTTTGGCACCCCTAGAGTCACTGTCATTCCCCATGCCTAAGCAAATAATACAAAAAATATGGGTTAAACATTATAACTAAAAACTAATCATGCGGCTTAAGTGAACATAAAATGTTATGGATGTTACATCAGAACATGATTGCAGCGCAGTAGTTACTGCTCCTGTATCACCAATGCATTCAAATGAGTAGTCTGCTCCACCATCTGTCATCCGTTTAATCACCTGCCATATTAGCATAAAAGATTTCTTCAACTTCATACAAATAACAACAACAACAACATCAAGTCTTTGTCCCACTACGTGGGGGCCGGCTACATGAATCCTTTTTCTCCATTGTGTTATGTTAAAAATCAAATTCTCGTTTAAATCTAATAAAGAAAGATCATTTCTAATATTTTCTAACCAAGTCTTTTTAGGTCTAGCTCTACCTTTCTTAAGATAAGTCAAATCTAATACCTCTACTTTCCTAACCGGGTCATCGGAAGGCCTCCATTTAATGTGACCAAACCATCTAAGGTGACTCTCTGGAATCTTATCTTCCACTGGAGCTACTCCAACCGTTTCACATATATGCTCATTTCGTATCCTGTCTCTAAGGGTAAAGTCACTCATCCACCTGAGCATCCTCATCTATGCAACACTTAACTTAGCACTAAGCTTTTCTTTTAATGGCCAACATTCGTCACCCTAAAGCATTGCAGGTCTCACCACCATCTTATAGAATTTTCCCTTAAGTTTGAGGGGGACTTTTCTATCACACAACAAGCCCGATGCATTCCTCCGCTTCAGCCATCCAACTTGAATTCTACTGATAATATTCCCATCTATTTCACCATCACTCTGAACAATAGATCCAACATATCTAAAATGTGTTCTCTTATTAATGACTTGATCGCCCAAAGTCACAATCCCCTCACTAGGTTTATTGCTATTAAAAATACACTCCATATATTCAGTTTTAGATCTATTCAAGTGAAAACCTTTAGACTCATGCCAAAAAAAAAAGGAATAATTATTCAGCCTAGCATAGCCAACTATACATCTTCATGAAAAAGCATCACGTTAAAACTTGTCTTTAATAAATTTGAGTTTCAAGATAATGGGTAAAAGGAAGTTTTTCTACAATGAATTTATTCAAAAGTAAAAGAGAACTTGCACGGAAAGAAGCCTTCTGTTTCAGCAACAATAAATCCACTACAGACCTTAGTAACTTCCAAAGCCATGCATATAAAATCAGTTCACTTGGATCTCTAGTGTAAAGATTGCTGCATGTCCATAACTATGTTAGTCGCCAACGCATGCTGTTCGGAAAACCGCCTCTTAAACCATGTTGCTGCACCATAGAATCCATAATTTATAGTATTCATAATTGTTAATCTATATGGATGGTCATTAATTGAACGTTAGATTGTCTAGTAATATTGTGGTGCGATACCTGAAAAGTCTAAATAGAAGGTAAAAGAATATGGCTGCCCAAAAGAACATTTTTGTTTCTTTTGAACGTCAAACTCTTTGCAACCAGATCTAGAGAAGAGCAGCACAAGCAATTTAGTTTCTGCAATTATTGGAACTGCTTTGAACCTGATATGGTACAGAAAGGTTTACATTGGCATGCATACAAGATCTTGTCCATTCATATTTTATGTCCTAAAGACCAGTGTCATGTCTGTAGCAACATGTCTATGTTACTGCTTGAATTCTCTGGTATGGTCTGTGGTACATTGACTTAATTAATATCTACATCTGAATTTTGCCTAGTTAAAATATTGAGAAACTTTAGGAATAGAATGATTCTCTGGACGTAAAAAATCTTGTATCAGGAATTTTTCCCAAAAATCCTCAATTTGTGTGTCAACTTCCTTCTCAAGTCATGTGCGGGTGAGATTGGTAACTATAAGAAAGTAGTTTTCTCTAGAGTTTGCACGATGACATCTCCTTTATTTTCTCATTTTATACTATCCCTCCTCTTCGAGATTTTTATTAAACACTGACATTGTTAGGTCCGAAGTCCTAGATGAGAAAAATGAAAGGTTGCGTTAGGTCATTGGCAACCAGCGTAAAACTTGTCAAATAATCATGATATGAATACTTCTAATACATTGTGTTCATGTAAGGGCAATCCTTAGAAGTGACTAGTTTTATGGACTAAATACAACGAGAAGTGTGCAAGGGCCGGTGCACTGGCATCCAGGTGTAGTGTAAAATAAGCAAGAGTTCTGTTAGGAAACACTTGTGGATCTCAAGTAAGGCTTTGTTCGGAACAGCTTTTTTACTGCTTCTTAAAGTGGTTTCCTAAATCTACAAAAAATGCATTATAACATGATTTTATAAGCTTTCACCGTATAACTCTTGATATATTATAGATTTGATCATTCTGAACAATATGATATAATTTTATTACATTTTCACTGGTTAAATATGTGTATAAGAATTTCTAGGTAAAAGGTAAAATGAGCATATATACATTAATGCATATATTTTTTTATATGATTTACAGCTTATTGTTCTCTTTTACCTTGCATTGATTTCAATCATAAGATTTTGATTACTTGCTCGCCTAATGCTCATTACGTAGTTTTACATGATTTCATATAAAGGTAAGGATCCTCTGATATAAGGTTCCGAACAGCATACATAATACTTTCCACTATTCACAAGAAATTGGTAAGCTCTTATTATATGCTAAAATGAAAGACAGATGCAATTCTTCCAATATAGATCTCGGGGCATAACACATTATAACATATTAGAAAATGCAACTATGACTTATATAGATTTTGGGGGTGCTCTTTCTATAATTATAAGTTACATGCAAAAATATTATTGGGCTATTGACTCAATATGTTTTATTCGGGTGCCATAATAGGTTATTATTTTCTAATAATAGATGATATAATAAATTTGTTTATATGGGAAACAATGGTGCGCTTAGGACTACTATAGGTCTTAGCACTATTTGTATTAGAACCCATTATGGTACATCATGCATCTTGGTTGGGCTAAGACATTTAGCTGATAAGAGAATGAATATGGTATCTTTAGGTGCTCTAAGTGATATAGGGTACAAGATTCTGGGGATAAAAAGATTCTCAAAGTTTAGAGGTCCTTTAATTGTCATAAGAGCAAGTATAATAAGAGAATTGCATAGGTTGCAAGAGGTCACATCAAAAGCTGTTCCATGTATTTCTTCACCTACATTTAAGCATCACATTTTGGGGAAGGGAGAGTTAAGCTTCAATTGTTAAGGCTTTTGTTTTTTTTGCTTTTGTCATTAACCAGAGTTTCAATTATGCAATCCCAAAAGCAACTTTTACAAGAAACAAAAAATGGAAAACCTATGAAAAAATTATAATCCAAAGAGGCATTATTTTTTATTGGTCGCTATTTAAAAAAGGTAAAAAACTTACCCTAATGAAGCCTCAGATCTAGTTGCATTAAAAAAAAGGTTCTAGTTGCATAAACTATTCTTAAAAAAAAATTCAAGACCAAGCTGATGGTAATACTTCAAATGATAAGATGTATGAAGTTTGAGCTGTAGTCTATCTTGATGTAGAGTCGTACCATTGTATTATTCAAGAGACAAAGATATCCAATGCAAGTTTAGTTCTTTTATTTACTTCAGTGTGCAACATCAATACCACAAGGACCTCTCACAAATGTTCAGTTTAGACGTCATCTAAGCCTGATGAGGTGGTAGGACACCGAGTCTTCTAAGGATTTCAGAACTTAGAGTGCTCTACTTAAAGATACGTCATTAGTCACATAAGATATCCAAGTTCTGTGATTGTAATGAATCAAGGGGAGAATTGTTAATATTGACTCAATGAATAGCTGCATTGAATTTTCCCGAATTAAATACAACAACAGTTTAAGAATCAAAGGATTCTTAATACCATTTCAAAATTTGCACCAAGGAGTCCTCAATTCGCCAGTTAAATTCCTTCTTTGGCTTTGTGGTTGAGCACGATAATTATCAAAAATCAGTTTTCTCTAAGGTTGTATGATGGTGTCTTCCTTGTTCCTCAATTGATATCCCTCCTGACTGCTAAGATTTTTTGGTTTTGGAGGATTTGGTGACTTCGAGATTAATGTGACAAAAAGAACTTTATGAGTTACACTGATTGTGAAGGTTTTTTGTCTTTATTGTTGTTTATTTATTTATTTTTCAAAGGGTATATTTATGATTCGAGAATGGCTGTGAGTTTTCCTTATTTTTGTCCTGCCTTTTATGTTTGGCAAAAATACTTCTTTAAGTACCACTCCCAGCGTCAAGCAAACATTAAGCAATGTGTTGTATGCGGCAAATTATTATGTGCGGTGTACGGACCGTCTGGAGGCGAATCCGGACGCGCCACGTCACCCGGATGCATCGGGGTCAGGGTGATGTGGCGCGTCCAAACTTGCCTCTAGACGAATCCAGACGCCGCACGTAATAATTTGCCGTTATATGCATATTCACCAGAATTTAAGAGATTGTGCAAGTAAGCCTTTGAAGAATGCTTCTGGAAAATCATTAGAAAATATAATAATGGTGGGCATGTATATTTTTATTCCCCACTGCAGTGCTGCTTCAGAGAATAGCATAGATGTTTCATTCATTCATCTTAGTACCTGTGGGATTGGCTCATTGTAGTCATCGGGATTGATGAAGCTCGTTACACCAAAAGACTTTCCTGCATTAAGGAAAGCACTTTAGAAACTAAAAGCACGGAGAGTTTAGGAAATGCAACAGAACAAATAATGGCTGCCACGCACCTTTCTCAAACTTGCGAGGATTATTATCCACACCAATAATCTGAGAAGCACCTCTTAGTTTAGCAGCTTGGGCCACCTAATTACATCAAACACAATGCAAAGAATCAAAAACCTTTCCCGAGAAAATGGATGTGATGTAAAATTTGGAAGGTTAGATGGAAAATGGATTTTGCTGCAGTACTTACTGAGAGACCCACAGTTCCCAAACCAAAAATAACTACAGTTGAACCTTTAGATACATCAGCAACTTTCCAAACTGCTCCAAATCCTAATAGTAAAACATGTTTCGTGTTAATGCGAAGACGAGCTCAATATGTATTCAAACAAAGGCTTTGTGACACTAGTAGCAGGCTACAATATTATATATCAAAATAATGGAACTAGAAAATTGTACTTTTGCAACACCCAAACAAAAAAAAACTGACATCCACAATAGTCACATTTATATAGAACGTCCAAGAATCTCTGTTTCTAATGCAAATCAACCATTAGAAACAAAGATTGAGACACAATCCACAAATGCAACGAATATGGAATTTTTGCAAAAAAAAGAAATTATTTGTGTTGAAACAATTCTTTAATATCTTCAAGGAAAAAAATCCAATTCAAACAAAAATTTTATGAACCTCTATTATAAATTAACAACAAAAATAATGCACGCAACTGAAATTTTACACAGAGCAACAAAATCCAAATTAGAACAAATTTAACAAAATTCAACCATACTTACCAACTAATAAAAAAAATGAATAGATGAGGGAGGAGAAGACATGAAGAAAAGCAAAGTTATCAGAAAGAAAGCCTAGCATGCTTATAAGAGGATAATTTCTCCAAAAAATTTCAAATTTCATACCTAATCAAGAAACCAAATCCAAAAAGAAGGATCTGAACATCCAGAGTAAATTTGGCCTATCCTTAGAGCAGTGGGTCCCAAACTTCCAATTGCTCTAGTGGGTGACTAAGGATTTAAGGAACACCCCTGGATCGTTGAGAGAATTTTCTTTGTCACTCTTTCGAAGGAGAGAGGGTTGGAAAAATGCTTAGAGCAAGCCAACCTTATAGCACTACACTTTAGGGTTTTGCCTTTAGAGCTGTGGTATGGAGGGTGATTTAGAGCATGCATCCACTTTGAAGTGCTAGGAGAATGTTAGAAGATATAATCAGGAGTATTTTGTAAAGATTTAAAAGGTTTAGAGATGTGTAATGTGTTGCAATTCAAGAGCTCGAGCTTGTGTTTTGATGGTTACAAATATTATTGGATGACTATTTAGTTTCTCCTGTGATTTATACTACATATATTTTTTTTGTGAACTAACATTTCAAGTTCAACATACACCGACTATCATAAGAGAATCAAGCTCAAGTTTGGGTTGTATAGGTTTGATTTATTTGAAAGAGTCTATAATTTTATTTTTCTTTAGTCAATCAATATACAAAGGTGTATCCTAGATTAGCAACCGTATACATACATATGAGATAAGTGACCTAAATGTTTTAATTATTCTAAAGATTATACTGTACGATCTGGATCATACTATACGATCTATGTAATCAGAATTTAATTAAAACATTTAATTAAATGAAATAAATTTGAAATTAAAAAAAAATGAACTACTCATACTATACGATCAAATTGTACATGACGATTAGTGTTAAATTAAGAGAATCGGAGAGGGAAATGCTTCAATTATTATTACACAAAACTATCCTTATTTATAGATCTATATAGGATATCTTAATAAATAAACAAATAACTAGAGAATCATGCATAATTGCCCTAATATAATCCTTTCTGAATCAGCCACCAAAATATGGAAAGAAAACGACGTAATCAAGGTGAGCCTCCCACGGATCTCCATCTGGCCGTGGAATCAAGGGCTAAAGGGATGGCTGAGATTTAATAGCGTTCTCCAGGTGAGCCTCCCATGGATCCTCATGCTGATCGTGGGATTAAGGGTCAAGGGATGATTGGGATTTTAACACTCCCATTCAAGCTGGGGAATACATATCTGTCATTCCCAGCTTGGTAATTAGTCCTAAAAAAATAGAGTTATCAAGCCCCTCGGTGCACCATAGAGTCCTCCATTTGGTCAAATCTTTGGGATGAATTTTCTTCAGACATTGCAGCGGCAGAGGATAGAGATGAAAGCTATATCAATCAAGATTGCAAGGTGCAAGACAACAATGAAGGTTGCATTAAATAGTAGTCCTCAAGATATCGGAAATGGAAAGAAAGGGCAGTGTTGGGACGGCATGAAAAGTGAGTTAATTATCCATTGGGTTCTTCTCCCTCTCGATTCTCAAGGGAAGGTCGGCTATGAAGGCACGATAGTAGAAAACAATAAAAATTTGTTTATAGGGTTATGACAAGCTTCAAGAATAGATGCAGAAAAACACGTCTCAAGCGGCTCAGCACTCGGTGCGCAGATCTCCTCCTTCCCAGGTCGTCCAACTTTACCTGAATTGACTCCTGTTTGATCGGCCTAGTACAGGTGCACGCAAGGCGCAAGTTCCTTACACAATCATTCCGCTTGCTCGATACCCAGGTCGCATAAACTGCTCGCCTTCACGTACACAGGGAGCCGCTAGATCCTTCTTGCTCCCTCGCTCGGTCCTCTTCTTCACTTCAGCCCCCAGGTAGGCACACATGCAAACTCCCATCTTTGCTTCTTATGGCTGCAGGCACGAGCGGTTTGGACCACTCGACTCTCATTCAATCTCCAACAGGCTCCTCTCCTCTTCCTTTGATTCATATTATCCCAGCGATTATGACAACAAAGGCCGATGGTAGAACCAGTACTCTTCAGAATTTCGGCACTGAAGGCTAGTGTAAGGCCTAGTATTCTTCAAATTCTGGCAATGAAGGTCGGTGGTAGGAACCAATATTCCTCATATTTCCCACAATGAAAGCTGGTTGTTTCTCTTCGATTTCTTCTATTTAAGGCAATGATGCCATCTTAAATTCAGAGAATTGGAGAGAGAAAGGCTTCAATTATTATTACAGAAAACTATTCCTATTTATAGATCTATACATGATTTATTGATAAAGAAACAAATAAGTACAGAATCACGCATAATTTCCCTTATATAATCCTTCCTAAATCAGCCGCCCGAATATGGAAGGAGATCGACGTAATCCAAGTGAGCCTCCCACGGATCTCCATTATGGCCGTGGGATCAAGGGCTAAAGGGACATATGAGATTTAACAGTGTTATCCAGGTGAGCCTCCCAAGGATCCTCATGCTGGCTGTGGGATCAAGGGCCAAGGGACAATTGAGATTTCAACAATTAGTTATAACCAGGAGTCCTCGTCGGCATTTAAAATTAGGCAATATTTTAAAATTTAAAAAATGGTTTATTTGTACAGGATAATCCAAATCATATTGTACGATGCCATTAAAATCTTGTCTAATTTAATCCCTATAATTAAGCTATCAACTTAGAATTAATTGTAATTATGAATAATACTGTATGAATTTACCCTTCAAACTGTATGAATAGAGAGACAATCTAATTTGATTGAACTAATCATATTATATGATATACATTCATATTGGGCAATCAATGCAAGTCTTTTTAACTGATTGAACTAAGCACTATTTATCGTACAGTACTAACAGGGAAAAGCTGAATTAATTGTACTGTACGATAGACAAGTCGTATTGTACAAACAGAGACGACATAATTGAAAATAAGGATTTCGTAGAAGCCTACTATTTAAACTTCTCTTAATTTGTTTGAGAGTCTTTTGGCAGTCATTAGATTGTCTTTTGTGAGAAAGCGTTGAAGAGAGCTTTGAGATAGGGAGAGAAATAGTGAAATTTGTGAGAGAGGAAGAAGATCCTTGTAGGTTCAAGAGAGTGTGAGAGGAAGTTTCACATGGTTGCTCAGGCAAATTTGCACCTGAGTTTCTCCATATGTCAAGTTTGTCTTGAGGGAAGCTTTGGAAAGAAGACCCCTTTGGTGTCAAAGGAATCTTGCTACTCCTCCACACCTGGTTAGTGAAAAGGATTCATCTACTCCACTGGGCTAGGTTGGTGAAAGGGATTCAGCTACTCCACCGCATCAGGGAAGGTGAAAGTGATTTGGGCTGCGTCGCTGATAGGAAATACTTGAGTGCAAGTAGTTCCTAGCCAAATTGGAAGCGAAAAAGCCGTAAAACTGCTGTTTACAGAGGTGGACAGCAGGAAATCACCAGAAAACAGTAAGAATTAGCGAGAAAGAGAAGATAAAAACTCAAGCGAAGGCTTGTATTTAACTAGTAGGCAAATACAATAGCAAAGATACAATTTGTTCTTCAATCCGGGAGGAAGAACAACTCTCCAATCTCCGGCAACGCCAAGAGCCCAAAGCAAGAAAAACCCTAGATCTCAATTTGTCATTCAAAATCCAGATGAGGAGCCAATCCCCCCCAATCTCCTAATTAAACAAAAAGAATCATAAAGGACAATAATAAACTTCCTAAAATAGCCCCCCACATTCAAATTTTCCCTCCTAATTGCAATTAAGACTAGCTGGGCCCACTAGGAAGCCCCCCCCCCCCCCCTCTGCCCCCCCCCCCCCTTTTGCTCTGTTCCGGCGTGAGTAGCAATGGATCGGTCCCGGTTGGACCGGTCCAGCCTGCCCCTCCTGGGCCGGCAGCATATCAATACTCCCCTCCCAAAAACTCACCTAGTCCTCAAGGTGAAAAGAAGTGAATTGCTCTTTCATTCTCTCCATTGGTTCCCACGTCGCATCGAAATCGGGAAGGCCTCTCCACTTAATCAACACTTCTTTGTTGCCATCCTTATCTGATCTTACGCCTATAAGCTCCAGAGGCTCTAATATCACTTCCAACTCTTCAGTCAGTGTCACAGGTAAATCCGTACTAACTGCATGCTCCCCAATAGCTCTCCTCAATTGTGATACATGAAAAATTGGATGTATGGTAGCTGATGGGCGTAACTTCAGTCGGTACGCCACCGCACCAATCCTATTCAACACCTCATAAGGCCCAAAGTACCTGGGTGCTAATTTATGCTTCCTTCTTGCCACTGTCCGCTGTCGGTAGGGTCGTAGTTTCAAGAATACATTTTCCCCTACTTCAAACTGCATGTCTCTCCTGTGTGAATCTGCCTGCTTTTTCATAATCTGTTGGGCTCTCATCAAATGTTTCTTCAAATCTTCCAGTACCTTGTCTCTTTCTTCCAAATATTGCTCCACTGACGACACGGGAGTACTACCTCTCCCACAATGCACTAGGTGTGGAGGGTCCCTTCCATACAGCC